AAGATCTTACGCCATATACAATTACTGCATGCAGAACTATACCTATAGTTTTGTTTTCATTCATAGGTAAAAAGGTTTTTGCAGAAATGCGAACACAACTCGCCTTTGATGAAGTCGGAGTTTATGATGCAGTGGTTAAAGTTTGGTCTACCAGAACGTTTCCAACGCATATTGCATCGAGTTACTCCTTTCCATTCATTTGTCAACTTGTCATAAAGTGTGTTCTTGGGAAGTCCCCAGATGTCTTCAAATTCTTGTCATGCAGTTTAACAACAAAAGTGCAAAAAATGCCACAGGGAGCGGCGTTTGGTTCATGAGTTCACAAAAGTTCATCAGGTGAGTATTGCAGGGATAGTTGGCAGGACTGAGTAATCCCTCCCCCCACTAAACCCACGGAAGCTTTTCCACTTGTCCCTTGGTGTAACTGCATACCCACACACTAAACGATAACCTGAAAACAACTGGTCGCAGCATATTACTCCTTACTACACCCCATTGCTAACATGGCCTATCTGCAGTGATTAGTCACTTGGAAATACTGCACAAGAAGTAAATTTGTAAATATTGAGCTGAGAATTCCACACCATATTGAAAATTACTGTACGGGATAGAGCAAATATTAATGCTGTCGCTGCCACACAAAGAAAAAAGAAGCGATTCAACAAATCCTATCCCGAAGAAATAATACTGACAGAATTCCCCAAGCTTTTTCATTGGACACGTTATAAGCATCAGGCGTTTTCGTACAACCGCGTGTGCATGCATCTGTACAGTGCAAATAAAGCGTACGCAACGGGAAACGTTCACAGTGAAAGAGGATGTGATGAGGACAAAGGGGAACAAATGAGGGAGTTTATGTGAAATAGTGCGTAAAAGTGTAGCGAGTGGGAAGCGAAGAAAAAATAATGAGAACGATTTAGATGGTCCTGGTGTTCCGTCTCTTCTCTCTTTTGTTTCCTCTTGTATACGTCACTACATTTAACCCCTTCCTTATTTCCCCTTCCGCCCTTTCAATTCCCCGTTGCGGTAAGCATGGACGGTGGCTTTTCACAGGACAAACTTTCGAGGCTTTCAGACAATGACGTTGCGACCGGTTGAGTCCTTTCTTTCATCAGGTGCCACTTTACTTTAAACCACGTAGCCTAGTTACCCGGACGTAACCTTCATTGTCCCTTACCAACCTTTACCCCAGTGTGAAGATTGCTTTGACTTTCGCGCACCAAAATGCGAAGTGTTCATTTTTACAGAATAAATTCTTTGACAACTCCGTGTTGGCGAGCAAAAATCACCTCCTGGGCAAATGTCATCTCCTGCAAATATTGAGGATATGAATGTCTATTTCGTTTGGAATCTATTTATGGTATATTTTGTTTAACCAGCTGTGAAAGCAAATATGTATTACTCATTAATTAGCTCCATCGCCTCCATGCTGTCGTGTGCAAATATAATTACGACATGTTCGATGTGAAGCCGACGGGTTCGATTAACTAACGCGCGGTGGATACTAGATGTAGCGCTCACTCCTCAGGTCACTCTTTCCTCGTATTGTAACCAGCAAACTATGGTGCTCAGGCTAAATGTCTACAGAATAGCAAATGAACAACTTAACGTAACACAGCATGCCAAATGTTGTGACTACTTCATCGTAAACCTTCACCTGAGTCTGTCAGAAAATGTGAGGACTAACAACAATGTCGAACTATGAGCTGCTGGCTTCGCCGTTACAATGAAGTGCAGTATACTAACTAACCTAAGCCGGTGACTTTACCATTTGCTCACGCTTAGCTTGAACACTTATCCCGATGTGAACACTCAGAGGTCGGAATTAACTATAGGCTGATAAATACTAGATGTGACGCTTACTCTTCGAGTGTCTTCAAGTCTTAGAAAGCTCTCTTGACAGTCCTCAGGTGCAAAGCATGTACCAACTTACGGAGACAGTTTCAAAAGATTCTTTCCGTAGTTATTCACCTACAGATCCAATTTTACCTGGCTGCATATGCGGATTTTTACCTGGAAGACTGTCTAACATGAACTTTATGATGGGATGGAATTGCTGGACTCCCAATGTTGGGCAGTAAAGGCCCGTTCATACGGGGCTAGTTTAGTTTTCTGTAGCCTCTGATAAAGTTAATCATTTCATCCTGTGTGAAGAAACGCCAGCTCACGTGGACACCGAACGTTGCTCAGCCAGATTAGGAATTACCCTAGCGATTTGTTTCATCTACTTAGAGTTAGTCACTCTTTATCTTAATGGTCTCCTATTCTGGGTGGCCCTCAGGGTTCCATTTTGGATCTGCTAGTGTTCTTTTCTTTTATAAATGACTTGCCAGCAGGACTGATCCCCGCTGGCTATTGTATGCTGATGATCTGAAGACTTGTTGGGAGATATAGAGGCCAACAGAAATATCAATCCCACGAGAACGCCTCCTTAAAATTGTAACTTGAATGAGCGAAATCCTTCCCTCTCTAGACCCGAAGTGTAGTTTAATGACTTGACAAGTGTAGACGTACTTCTAGTTCCCACTCCCCCGGGAAACAAGTACTTCCTACCCAAACACTGAAGAGGGTATGAGGGTTACCCCCAAGTGACATACTTGGGGTTTCTCTCCACTATCCCCTGGCAACTAACAAGCGAAATAGTCCTATGGATCTTGACTCTTACGCAAGAGAGTTTATATCCGGACCCTTTTGCCACAGTGTATAGTTGATACATTCGTCCTCATTTATCGAAAAGTCCGCTAGTTATTTCCCGATACTTGTAGAATGACACTGTATCCTGGAACGTGTGCAGGAGACGCCACGGAAAAAGTAACCAGGCTACCGTAGAAACATTATCTGGAACGCTTAGCTGCTGTTCTCCGCACAACACAGGAGGATCAGAGAGGATATGATCATGGCATAAATTATTGTCCACGATCCCCCTTGTGCCAACTAATCGCCATCGATGGAAAGACCACCTTTGAGGTCATCCCTTCAGATTGGAGCATGAGAGAGCGTGCTTGATGATCTGCTGTAGCTAGTCTGTGGTTAGAGTATGCAAACTCTGCAACTCCATTCGTGAATAAGCCACAGCCTCCTCTTCTGGTGCATTCAAAAGGAGGTTTGGTGCATATGTACAGACCTTTGGCAAAGATGAACTACTGTCCAACAAACCATGGAAAGGAGCATTACCTATATCAGGCTAATTAATTAATTAGTTGATTGACTATCCCTGTCTTTTCAGGTTTCTGTGTTCCGGGAAAACATGTGACCATTCCAGATATGGAATTCCTTCCCTTTAGATAGGTGTGTAACCCCAGAGAATGTGCTTTATTTCTAAAACGTGAGGTTCGAAGTTTTAAAGCTCCTTCGATTGCGTCAGAAACTATTGAAAATCATTCACGTGGATGAGCCACCAAACACCACGAAATCCCCTACGGTTCTCTAGGCTGGTGATGTAAAAACCTGGCGGAAAATGAGAAGTAACGAAGATATACATGTACTTCAGACGGAACTAAACAGCTGGCTCACCTGGTCAGAGAAGTGGCTGATGCTTATCAACACAGGTAGATATGTGAGCATGCACTTGGGGCACACACGTGGCAACACCCACGATATTGGCGGAACTCCTCCACCCGCAGTACTGACCCACATCGACCCAGCAGTCACAGTGAGTTACGACTCGAAAATCATGGCACACTATCGATTGGTTGCAGCTTAGAGTCATTGGACACTTTGGACATCACTCATAACGTCTGCAAAAATAAGGGGTGATGTGTTCACCATCTTATGCACATCCTTGTTAGTCTTTAACTAGAAAACCGTACACAGGTAGCAAATCCCCGTCTAAAGGTGACAAAGACCCTCAAGAAAGAGTTAAGAGGGCAGCCACTCGCACGATCCTTGCGATGGCTGGCCTCACCTATGAAGATCGACCTAAGGAGCTGAACTTCTTCTCTTTGTCCTATCACAGACAGAGGAGAGATCTTATCATGCTGTACAGGATCCTAAAGGATAACTGGAGCTGGTCTGTCTTCTTTTTTCCTTCCCATTAGGTAAAAACACCTCACAGGACACAGTGGGAGGCTGCAAAAGCAAAGAGCGAGCATAGTCTCCACAGAGTACTGGTTCTCACCTCGAGTAATCAACTCCTAGAACCGTCTCCTAGAAGAAGTGGTGTCCGCACCACCAATTGGCTCGTTCACGAGGGGACTGAACAAGCACAGAAACTTACTGTAAAAGGATTGATATAGACTCACAGCGTTCTACCCTCAAACAACAAATCTGAATCTGTTCGGTAACATAAAGGGGTCTTGAAGGAGACTTACCCAGTGCTGACATACACCAAAATTGTGCAATCGATTTCACTTTTGAGAAGCAGTCGTGAATAAATAATATACTACATAATTTTAGGTAGGTATGATGGTATTAGACAGTGGACTGGAGTGGCGCCAGATTCTTGTTTGAAAGTAAGCACGTCGTGATACCATTGCCTGAATGATACCAAGTAACTCCTTACGGACCGCTACGTAAGGTCAGCAAGAAGGCAGCACTAAAAGTCTTTTTTCTTCAGTGGACCTCACAGAACGCACTGGACAGTTAATGAAGTTAAATCTCATTAGGGAAGGTGTAGAGAGAGCACTGTTGAATGCGACAGTACTTAACAGTCGAGAATAACCCTATTTTATAGTCAGTACTTGTACGGTGCTTGTCACCAGAATGGTTGGACGTTGCGTTCACCCACAGATGTCCATACCAGTGGTATGCATAGATCCAGAATAGGACTGCCGTGGCAGTTGGCAACCGTAATGGTTTGAATGTAGAACACAAGGTATGCTGGTGACTGGAACAGGCTTCGAGTTGTACCGCATCTGCACTACATCACTGCATGTTAATATGTAGTGCATTATCGTAAATATTTCCTACAATTTTTTTATCGTAACTGTTACTCTACAAATAATCACGGTTTCAGTTTTATAAGTATACGTATTTGTTTCTGATGTAGGTCGTTCACGATAATGTCTTTGATTGACGTTAGTGATGAAAAAAAACTACAGAAATTGATAGAAAATGAAAGGTAACAATTTCATCGGGATATATTTTAGATGCAGCAAGTTAGTGGTATGTTTTTCGTCCCCTGCTGTACCTCAATGTACCCAAGTATATGATGCCCTTACAACGCTCAATGAGGACTCACTCAACTCAGGAATTACGTTTGGAAATGTAAGTTTTCACACGATATACTTTCGGCGAATGCAGAATAGTTGACCGTAAGATAAAGTCAACCGTTTACAATCCGCCGTACATTGAATACATTTTTACCTGACCCGCTGACTGAGTTCCTCAGTTCGGTTCTCATTAAAGTGTTACATTGCCGGCTATGTAATGCTAATAAGGCTGGTCACGTCAGCCAACTACGATTATACCTATTGCTCTACACACTTAAAACTGACCGAAGTCTGTAACCGCCTGTGAAATGTTACTCTTACATATGGGTGGAGCTGTGGTGCATTGGTCTAAACATCTGATTCCCAACCAAACGGTTACAAGTTTGAGCACAGCTTCCTCTACCGACGTTTGGCCAGCTGGGTATTATCATTAGTGATCACGTGATAGGCGCCGCCTACTGCACGGATGTGCAGTCACTGAGTTTATTTCGATTTTGATTTCAAAAATTGTTATTAATTGTCATTTTCCTATATATTACTGAATTGTAGGTAGATGTGGGAACGGTTTCTGAAACTGCGAAGAAGCTAAAAATTACTTCTGTTCCTACAGTCTTGTTTTTCCAAGTAAGCAGTAACTTTATAATTTCCTGATGAATCATGCACAGACTTGTCCTTTTTATTGAGATACTTATAAATTTCAAATCTAGTAAGTTACATCTTGCATGGGCAGGAAAGGAAACTTGATAAACCTTTCCTAAACTCTCACACGCATGTGGTGTCTGGTTTATTCATACTTTGTAAACCTCAGCGATATGGGCTTGTAAGATTTGTCACTTGCTGCTAGTTATCAGAAATACCTGTTAAGTCGTGTGGAGCTTTGTAAGATTCGGTTTGGTGTCTGCCGTACTTGACTTCTCAGTGAGGTCTCGTCAACAGATGTTTAAATGCTTTAAAAACGTATTTTGGCTAGAATGTATCTATATTTTTAGGTCCATGAAACAACTATTAAGATGTGGTTCTTAAAGGATTACGGTCATTCGGTTAATCTCGCATCTTGCCTCCAACAGATTCTTTGTTGCCTTTAAGGGAGTCTTTTTTCATGCTGTTTTTTTCATTTCCGGCTTCTGTCGTCTACACCTTACTGTTGTAAACTGTTGCTGTCTTTTTTTCTCACCATGAAAGCTAGGTAAAGAAACCAATCGTGTTTGTGGTGCAAGTATTCCTGATATTACGAAATCCGTTTTCAGTTTACGATCAGCATCGACTAATGCTTCAGCTAACGATCTTTCATCTCGCCTACAGTTCTTAATTAATAAGGCACCTATTATGCTTTTTATGAAAGGCAGTCCTGACGAACCTCGATGTGGCTTCAGTCGCCAAATTGTTCAGATTTTGCGTTCGAACAATGCTAAATTTGAAACATTTGATATTTTACGTGATGAAGAAATCCGGCAAGGTTTGTTCTGCTTTTGTTTTCCCTGAATATGTAATACACGTACAATATTGCTTTGAGACCTTTCTCTATTTTGTGTTTTAATCTATAGAACCTGTAGTGACAAGCCTTCACATCATCCCATAAAAGCTCATCTTTATTACAAGTTGTGAGTTATTCTCTGTGACATTGACGGGAGATTGTGCACTTAAATCTGCATTTGAAGCTGTCACTCATGATTCGTAAATTGTCATTAGCACGAAGTGCGCGACAAATATCCTATTAACCCTTTAACTGCTAAAATGCTTTGTCGCTGAAAGTTATAACTTCATGCTTATCTATGTGGTGCGACGAATGAATAATGTGTAGTTTACTTTGGATGCCTAAGAATTCCACACAGTCCTTTGGCCCTGACCAGATAGGACCTCATATGTGATTACAGACGGAATGTCGTTCAACAGACTTCACTTCCTACCATGGCTATTTGTCACCCCCATTTTGGAAGTTTTATATTTACCCTAAGTGGCATTGTTTCAGTGCTAACCATTTTACTTGGAGGTCTTAGAGATGTATCACTCAGTAAGTGAACCTCAGTAGATCACAGAGAAGTTGATAAAAGTGGTTACCGTTGGTCTAAACTACCTAGAGCGCCTTAGACGCTATGCCTTGGAAATAACTTGAATTACTGATAGTATGTGCTCGTATTCCACAACCAGCTGAGTATTTCTTTCTAACTACATTCATAGCACTGGCGAGAAGTTACTTTTTTGGATTGATACACAAAGGGAATTCCCTCTATATGTATGGAGGTGAAAGATATCAGATTAGTAGGTGGGGATGTAATGCACTAGTAAGTCTTGAAGGAAATCTAGAAACTAGTGTTGTCTATGCGTACTGTTGGTGTATATATGTGGTAGTTTATGTGCTTAATTTTTTATGAATCTTTGCTGCATCACCAAGCATGTCAGGGTAGGTCTATTTTTATTTAATCACTTGGTAAAATAGAAGAGTGATAAGTCATGCAAACAGATGAAACCGACGTAGAACTTTATACACAAGTACATCGGCTCCAGTTGTCAAACTCCACAGTAGCATATAAAGAACAGATAGGAAAAAGTGATATCAAGGTAGACAAAGCTGTATGCAAGAATAAATATTTTGAAGGCTGTAGTTAGTTCAAATATTCAAGCTTTTGAAGACGTCAAAGGGTGACTACATCTGCACCATTGTAACGGATTACCAAGAACCCTCAAGCACTAATTCCCTTCACCTCGGCGACCCCAACCAGCCAGTCTAAATCTCCCCCACATGACAGACCAACAGTCAGGGGCTTCATGAACTAATGCCAGGTCTTCATCTGCCCGCCTTAAACTTTCTTAGTCCGATTGCACGTTGAGGTAGGCTATGGTTCTGCATGCTTAGCATGTGTCCAAGCCATCTCAGTCGGCTGAGGTTCAAGGCATACCATAACGGTTTCACACGAATATTTGCAGTTCTTAACGTTCTGTCTTGTCGAAACGAAGTTTTTAACTTATGAACCAAGCTTTGAAATTTTCCGATACCAAGATGTTTTGTTAACAAGAACAAGGCATGTATCAGCGAAGAAATATTTCTTTTCAACGACTTCATATTTCTTCGCTGATACGTGCCTTGTTCTTGTTGGTGAATAAATGGGTATATTTCGTCAGTACCAAGATGTTTTCTTGCTGTTACCTGCTAATATTCTGTAACATCCTTCTCCCACGCTTGAAACGGGACCGCCGAACATGATTGAGGCTTTCAAGTATAAGGGATTCGATTTGTTTGTAGACCGCGTTACTAACACTTTTTTCGATACACACTGATTCTGACGTTTTTAATAATCTCTAACTGCAGCTTTTTCGGAATTTTCTAATTTACTTTTCTTCTGTAGGTTTGAAAACTTACTCGAACTGGCCAACGTATCCTCAGTTATATGTCAAAGGAGAGTTAGTTGGTGGGGTAGATATTGTACGAGAGTTAGCCGATTCTGGAGAATTAGCATCTATGTTTGAAGACCTATAAATCTGTTCAGTGGAAAATTTTATGCTGATGAATTCTTTGTATAAATCCTTAATATAAATTTCTTGATTTAAAGTCAACTTTTGAAGGTTTGTCGGTAATTTTAGCGTTAGAGTTATTTTTCGAAGTAGCTTTTGAATACATATATGAAAAGTTATTGCAGTTCAGTCACACAAAATCAGCGTGGAAACACGCGAAACTGCATCTGTTGAAGTAGCCACATTTCGCAGCAACATGCAAAGCGCAAGTGCAGTAAATAAAGGGTAATATCAAGCTAGCCAAAAATCTAGAGGAGATTGAACTGGAAAATCTTGGTTTACGAAAATGTGTAAACTCTAGAAGGCGTCAGAGAATAATTTCAATCACGGAACTGACTGATTTCTAGCTATGTCGCCAAGCATCTCCACCCATGTCCTCCTGTTATCAGAATTAACAAAGACTTCATTGACTGGTGTTACATCTTCGCCTGCTCACCGTGAAACTTTTCCAAACCCAGTCCAACTTTGACGGTGGTTTGACATTCACAACAAGTGTCCTGACCATTTCAGTCGATGAAGGCTCGCAACCCCATTAACTGATTTATCTTCCTTTCTACCCTACTCCTAGAAACACGTTCAATCGGTGATCCCACCAAGGGTGAGCAGGGCAGCGAAGCTGCCTGTATTCAGAAACTTATCATCTCTTCGCGTCCACTCTCAACGCCTACTTTCCATAGCTGCATAACAGAACTGTTGTAGAGTATATTCGTCTTTTGATAGGTAGACGGGTATCCCACGAGGGTCGTTTATAACACAAGTTGGCAGATGCCAAGTAAACCTTGTCTCCGAGTTGAGATCCTGCCTGCAACCAATCCATTCATGTTGATACAAATCCCCAAGTAAGTCAATGCATCTGACCACTTTACAATGTTATCAGAATATATCGGACAGCACTTGAAGGTCGAGTTTCTCAAGCATCATGTGAGACTAGTTACGTTTTTTTGTTAAGTCATTGAAGGAATAGAAATAAGTTCATTTGGGTGTTTCTTATTTGGAAGAAAAGATTGTGATATGTTTAGGGATCACTATCTGATATGTAATCGCCAACTGACTAAGGGGGATCCGATTCGCCTGTAAAGTCTCGTATGGTGAAGTGAGATCGTCCTCATACTCGGTCGAACATTCTATGCTTGTGACTGATCTATACCAAGCACCTGTTAGGACTGTCTAAAAGATGTCTTGACATATCTTTGAGCCAGAATGGTGGAATCAGGTGACGCTCCCTTACTCTATTGTTGATTTGTGACAATGAGCAGAGACAGTTGTTTTCACTCTACGTGAGTATGGAACTCCAAAGATGTTGAGAAAATCGTAGGCTATTCCTTTTGACGGACAACTCCAAACCCCATTCCTGTCTCATGAATCGAGAGCAAATCTCATCACAAGCATGACGATTGTACGCCTGCAGTATGTGATGGTGGTCTAGCATCTGGAGGGCGATCATGTTAGTAGTTCACCCATGGTATCTACGAAACGTGTCCTGCTCACAGGTTTCGCTAAACCTGCGAGTAGTACTGGCAGTCAGCATTTTAAACGCTACTGGTGAACCGCTAATCCCCCTGTCGATGTCGCACATTTACTGATGACCTTGTTCTAGTGTGATGAAGCAATTAGACTTCCATTCCCACCTGAAAAATCTAGCCAGTTCCCAAACGACAGCCCCACATGTATCCTTAAAATGAGCTGTTATTGTCGCTGCCATCTGACTTGCACATCAAAGCTGTGAGACCTTGTGACGTTTGCGTTAGCGAACCGTGATTTATTGTGTGCCGTCTTATTCATTGTCCCCTAGAATATGCTAACTAGTGTCACGGGTTTGGTGGGTCAGAGAGACTTCACAGCCTTGCTCATTATTTTCCCAGATAAAATCTATGGTTCCTCTCCATGGCTTCGCATCGTCAACAGAAGAATTCCGGAAGACTTTTGCAGAGGTAAATCATCTGTGCAAATAAGGGACAGGAGAAGTCCTGATAATAAACTCTGAGGGACTCTATTATGGCATCTTATCTCTTTGAACACTAGAATTAACCTTAAAGAGTCGGTTGCTTAAACAGAATGAAAGCTAGCCATCATTGGTGAGCCAATTCCTACTGAACTCAGCTTATTAATGAGGAAGTCGTGGTTGATGCCACTGAAACCTTTAGAAGAATCGGTTATCAGTAATGCCGTCATAGGGATGTGTATTACCATTCCGTAACGTTTGAGCAACCCTACTTAACTTGATATGCTGTAGTACCTGCTTAACCAGTACCTTACCTAACGTGTAAGTACTGATAACGGAACACAAATCAAAAGAACTGGTTCGGGAATATATTTAAAGAAGTAATGTATTTAATTAAAGTAAATGTAATAGTAATGAATGGGGGAAAAGTTTAATCAACTTATCTGGCTAGTATGGCTGAGCTAGGGACTCTGAGTACGTGCGTGGTAACCAGCACTAAGGAAGCGTGAAATGGCGTCCAATTCTGCTCGGATGCATGCTCGTTAAAACACCCTAAACATCCGGAGGCTACCTAGAGGTTTATTTAGTTAATTTATTTTAGCCCTAGTTGTACTTTGATGCCAGGAAGGTGCACTACACCGTTGCAATTATATACAACGGCTAACAGGCTAGTGATATACCCATATACTTTCCTCAAACTTCTGTGGTTGTGTGCTGAAAATGTGGGTGGTGTATGGCAATCAGGTAAACCTTGGTGGTTAAGCCACCACTTAATCGAGGGTGTGGACAGAGGAGTCAGACCTGTATTTCGTCTACCACCCATGAAGGTAGATGTAACTTGATCTGAATGGCGATCTGTAGATAATGTTTTTTGAGTAGAGAAGCGTACAAACAATATACTGATGTTTTCATCAAGAAAAGAGACCCTTTTTAAAAATGAAAATATGGAGAAGTAGTAGAATAATCCATAGAACAAACGTTTGTTGATTTACAGAGGAACGTGGTTTGTCTTTGGAAAGTAGGTCCACTAGTACCAGTGGTTGTCAGGTCACCGAGTATTTTAGAATATTTAGAAACTAGCTGGGTATGCTTTGGCAGTGCTGAAGTAACTAGATTCTAATAAAGGGGAGAAATACAATGTGTTGATGGGAAAGAGTAGGAGAAACAGTTGGTGACGGAACATGAGATGCTCTTCACTAGGTGGCCTCTGCGTCTGGATACAGTAAGCAATTAGTTCCCGTGTTCGTACACCTTGGTGTACAAGATAAGGAAGTTTAAACTATTTATAACTCAATGTATGAAACTGAGTGGGGATCTTAGGTAGGTATTTCGTTTCTACCTGAAGGACTCTGCCAAGAGAGCTTTCTAAGACTTGAAGACACTCGAAGAGTAAGCGTCACATCTAGTATTTATCAGCCTATAGTTAATTCCGACCTCTGAGTGTTCACATCGGGATAAGTGTTCAAGCTAAGCGTGAGCAAATGGTAAAGTCACCGGCTTAGGTTAGTTAGTATACTGCACTTCATTGTAACGGCGAAGCCAGCAGCTCATAGTTCGACATTGTTGTTAGTCCTCACATTTTCTGACAGACTCAGGTGAAGGTTTACGATGAAGTAGTCACAACATTTGGCATGCTGTGTTACGTTAAGTTGTTCATTTGCTATTCTGTAGACATTTAGCCTGAGCACCATAGTTTGCTGGTTACAATGCGAGGAACGTATGACTTCTATTTTGAAACCAACTTGTGTTGTTTCTTGATCTCGCACTTGTGATTCTCAAACCAGCACTGCAACCTAATCGTTGGCGTCAACATCTGTCTAGATCGCGTGTGAAACTCTTGAAACGGTGATCTCATATCATTTTATACTTGTTGATTCTTTTCATATCCATCAATTTTATCCTTTCATATGTTTTAATGTTAATTTCAAATCCATATGCAACAAGATTGCTGAACTAATGCAATGCAATTTTGACCTTTTCTGAGCGAATACAGTCGTAGATGAATCGCAGCAATCACTGACCTACCATTTAAAGCTATGAAACACCGAGTGTTGACATGTGTCATTTTAACAGAATGGCCTAGCTGAAGGTACGTACTTAGTCAAGTAGTTCCACTTTGTGGCTACTTATCGTGTTATTTAGTTGGAGAACAGAATAGTGAGAAAAGATGATAGACTGAATAAATTGAGAGGAAAAGTGATAGGTAGTCAGATAAATAGAATTATTGAGCTAGTAATGGTATGTTTAACCCTTGATCTTTTAACTCCGCATATTTTTCTTGAAAGCCTTCAAGAAAGTTGATGATAGACCACAGTTCAAGTTCAACACCCGGAAACTGAAGGACGAAACTGCGAAGAAAATCTTCACGTCATCTATCAAGACAAAATGGGAGATATCGAGCAACATCTCTGAAGAAACCTGTGTGGAAGAACACTGGAAGTCTTTGAAAGAGATGTGGAAAGAAACCTGCATAACCGTATTAGGAAGGAAGAAGAAAGAAGATAAGGAATGGATCTCGACGGACACATGGAAGCAGATAGCGGAGGGAGAGGAGGTTGGTGAAGCAGAAGGTAAACCAGTGCAAAGATGCTCAACGACAAGAGGAACTGATTACAACTTATAAAACACTGGACAAAGAAGTGAAGAAGAGTGCACGGAAAGACAAAAGACACTTCTACGACACACTGGGAAGTGATGCAGAACAGGCTGCAGGTAGGAGAGACAGAGATCTGACAACATTGTATCAAATAACCAGGTTACTATCTGGGAAAGAAGAGATCAACATAGATGAAACCAATAAAGGATGATGAAGGAAATTTAATTACGAAAGAAGAGAAAGAAAGGAACGATGGGCTGACCACTTCAAGAAGCTCTTGAATCGACCACCACCTGCACTTCGTCCACAAATACCACTTACAGCCGCTGAACTACAACTGAACATAAATCCTCCAACAAAAGTGGAAGTCTTGAACCCCATAAAGCTACTGAAATGTGGGAAAGCAGCAGGACCATATGGAATCCAGCCAGAGGCACTGAAAACAGATGCAGAGACAACAGCGGACATGCTCACACCACTATTTCAGAAGGTGTGGAAGGAAGAGAAGGTACCTGGCGATTGGAAGAAGGGTTACCTTGTCAAACTCCCGAAGAAGGGAGACCTAAGTGTTTGCAAGAACTGGCGCGGAATCACGCTACTGTCCACCCCAAGCATAATATTAGGCCGCATCATCCTGGAGAGACTAAAGGATGAACTGGATTCAAAACTACCATCCGAACAGGCTGGCTGGATTCAGGAAGAACAAATCATGTGCGGACCAAATTGCAACGCTTCGCATCATCATAGAACAGAGTATAGAATGGCAGTCAACCCTCTACCTCAACTTTATCGACTTTGAGAAGGCCTTTGACAGCGTCGACCGAGGGTAATTTGGAAACTGCTTCAATACTACGGAGTACCGCAAACCTTTATCAGCCTCATTCAACAACTGTATGAAGATGCCACATGCCAACCAAGTAATTCACAATGGGAAGCTGAGTGATGCTTTTGAAGTGAAGTGAAGACAGGAGTGAAACAAGGCTGTCTACTATCACCCATGATCTTCCTGATTGTAGTGAACTGGATCATGTAACAAATAGTGAGAACCGAGAAGAGGGGGGGGATACAATGGCTGGACTGCGGAAAAGAACCTAGAAGATTTGGATTTCGCCGATGACTTATGTCTAATGTCACACAAACTTGAAGATCTACAGGCGAAAACTAACAAGTTGACAGAAGAGGCAGGGCAGCAAAGACGGGACTTCAGGTGAACGTAGAGAAGACAAAGGTGATGAAGATACCCAACCAACACCACCATCAACAGCAAGAAGCTCCAATCACCATCAACTGGAGAAACTTAAAGGAAGTAGCCTCCTTCACCTATCTAGGCAGCATCATTTCAACTACAGGCGCCACAGGCACAGACGAGGACGTCAAAGTCAACATCGGAAAAGCAAGACAGGCGTCCATTAGCCTGAAACCAGTGTGGAGATCTTCTGCACTCAGCATGTGGAACAAGATCCGGATTTTCAATACCAACGTCATGTCAGTGCTTCTGTATGGCTGAGACTTGGTGCGTTACCAAAGGGATTTCCAATCAACAACTGCGTGCTCTGGCTCGTTACTGAAGATCAGATGGATTGCCAGAATAATAAGAATAAGCAAGAAGGAACTCTGGCTGGTGACGAACCAACCAAGAACCTATCGCTCAACAAATATGCAGAAGGAAGTGGAGATGGATTGGATTGGGCATACACTGAGAAGGCCGACTGGGGACATCCCGCGTCAGGTCCCGAGTGGAACCCAGATGGGAAGCGACGAGTTTGGCGTCCGAGGTGAAGGTGACATGGAGGAGATGGTGTGAGGAGGAAATGAGAGCTTCTAGGCTGTTCAAAAGATTGCAGAGAAGAGAGTGGAATGGAGACGTGTTACTGAAGCCCTATGTTCTATTAGGAACGCAAGGGACAAATAATAATAATTTTTCTTGTCTGAATTTTCTTCATTGAATGATAACCCAGTTTCTTTATGGATGAGTGTCTAATAGATCCTGGTTTAGTGATTATCGGTAGTAATAATATGAATACCAGTTACTTTTTTCCCCTGACGAAGTAAGTGTTTTTATTATAATATCATTTACCCAGGTTACTGATTGTATTGTCATTGGGACGCGGTTTGTTACAGAAACGTATACTCATTTGTCAGCTGTTATCCAGCAGATTGTTCTTCATCTCATTTCCTGTGTAATTAGATTTTATTCATAACATTATATTAATTTTCTTCTGTTTTAATATCATAATAACAGTTCATTCTTTTGATCATTTTGTTAGATTACTCATTTCGTTTTACAAACATGTTTTTTCATTTTGATCCATTGCCTGTTCTACTTTCGATGACTACTAACCTCCCTTAACAATCTTGTAGTATTGTGACTTACAAGGGATTATTTTGTCGGTTGCTGTATTCTGTAGTATAAATCTGTTTTCAATGTCGACTTCATTGAAGTCTTATATTTCTCAAATTTTCTGTACACTTATTTCTGTAAGCGGACCCTCCGAAAACGTATTGCTGAACACTACCCAGTTTGGCTTACCAAAGGAGAGCAAAGGAAAATGACTTCATCCATATGTGAACACCTTGTTGAATTAGGTTATTCAGCACCACGAGGCTCATCCTTGAAAATAATTTACAAAGTTAAATTGAACTACTCCAAAAGTTTACTTTTCCACCATTTATGCATAGCTGAAGCATTAGCTATACATGAACAAAAACCATAACTTTGCATTCAAAAACGTTTTGTGAAACCACTTTCTCTACCTTGGCCTTAACAGTTCATTTTGTTTATTTTGTCAATTTCATTTCACTTTGGTATACTTCTCTTTTATTGTCATCATTATCGCCAATTTTCACTACATTGACAACATTTGACCCATATTTCACTATTTAATATCAATTCATTCCTTATTCATTGACCTATTTTGCATGTTTCAGCTTAATTATCACCATTTTATAATTCTTTGACAACACATGTCTCTTATCTCACCACTTGTTATCAATTCATTCCTCCTTATTCAGTGACCCATTTTCTATCTCTCCCACTTGAACAAATACCACCACCCACACCTATTGTACATTTTGTATATTGACTGAGCAACTTTTTAGTGCAATTATCTGTCACTTTACCGAGTATAAATACGACTGTACAGCTTGATAAGACAATTATTGAAAAGAAATATTTCTTCGCTGATACATTTCTTGTTCTTAATTCATGAATGAATGGTATATTTCGTCAGTCAACTATCAGACAACTATTCTTATACTGAGCATTTTCATAGAAAGTTTAGTTTGGAACTATTATCCCCAAAGATGAGCGTTTTATCCTTAATTTTTAGAAATTTATCTTGCTGAACATTTGAATTGTCTTTTCCGCGCCGTTTTCTGCCTCAGATTTATTCCTCAATTTCATTGCTTTTTTGGAACTGTTTTCTCATTGTTTAACCTTCAACTTTAAATATGCCAATTAGTCTTTCCTCTCCAAAGGCTCATGTATTGTATTTAAAGGCAAGAGTTATGTCCGTGAATTGATACCTTCATACTTTCGACCGGAATAAACTCTCTTCACTCCATTATTGTCTTCCTTTTGTGTTAGATGAACTAGTTATCAAGTATGATATCCTTTATCCAGTAACTAGACTACGCATCCCCATATAAGTATATCTGAGATTCTCAATAGTCTTATTTCTGCTTTTAAATCTCGATCATAGTTAAATTAACTTTATCTTTTTGAATTATTTTCAACAGACTAGTTATTCGCTACAGTTTGTTTTTAAACAATACTTCCGACTGGATCTTTGATTGCTTCGTTAAGTTGTCCATCATTATGAAACAGTAGTAAAAGAGAGATTATTGTTACAATTACAATCAATAATGACAGCTTTGTGACAAGAAACAGTCTGACATAACACATTGCAATATACTGTAACATCAATATAAATATTATTAGTATTGCTCTTTGTTTTGTTCACATAATAGAAAGGCAGTTTATGAAAGAGTTTAGAAAGCATTGAAGAAGGATAACAGTAATTAAAGGTTGACAATCTGTCAAGTATATGTATTTGCAGTGTCTTCAAATTTATCGAAATTAGATGAATAGTTTTTAGTAGTAGTCAAGTTGACTAGGTGAATGACACAAGTACTGACAATGGTAACAATAACAGGTACAATGATCTAGAAATGAAATGTTTTTTTTTCCTTACTAAATGTTTCGTTTGAATACACTAATTCAAGCAATTATTTCAATTGATATTTGAACATCTTCATTAAAAGCGGATATTTTAATGAACATAGATTTAAATGAAACTGTTCAGAAGAATTAACTGTTAAAAGAAGAAGGTAGTTATGGAATGCAAACTTGAAAAAAAGGAAATTACTTATGATTATTCGATTGTTAACTGTCAAGACTAATATGCAACACTATCTTGTTTCATAATAACAATGAAAATAGAGCAATACAATGTATCGTATAATATTGTGGGTAATAGTTCATTGAATATGAGTGTATTATCCATGTATGTATACATATCAGAGAAATGAAAACAAACATAGTTGTGACACATTTAAGGCTTCGTTCTTAAATATTAACTAGTGAATGTACGAATGGATTGAAGACAAAAAAGCCGTACATGCATGCACTTTTCATTGAAATGCTAATTCCCTTTTTTGTTGTTGTCGAGTAAATGACACAAAAAAATGTTTCTGCAGGAAATTATATAACTAATCAGGATATCACTTAGTCTACATAATATTCACTGGTGTAGAAATGATTATGTATAGGTGGTTGGGTGTAGATGGCGGTGATTAGATAAAGCCTTTCAGGTTTTTATTTGTTTTTGTTATAAATATAATGACAAGATATATATAATAGAAGAAATTCACTCCTCTTCTTCTTCCTCATCTTCGTCGTCGTCGTCGTCCTCTTCTTCTTCTTCTTCAGACTCATCTGTGACAACCACGTCAGCTGTATGCGCAGCGGGTACATTTTCAAATACACCACTGTGTGGACATTGTTCTCGCCATATATCAATCTAAGATAAAGTGTAAATGAACAAAATAATTGATAGAAGATACTTATCCTTCATATGTATGTGTAATGTTTTCTAAACGAATGTAAAGTCACAATTCATTCTGAAATAACCCCTTAAAGAGAGACGAATAAACTAGTTCGATAATTCACTGCTTACTAGTAGCGTCGTTTTCTAAAATAACTTACCTCTGATGATGGACAGATGACTAAACTAAAAACAGTTATTACTACTTATTAATAGACTTGTAATTCTCCGTTGTTTTATTGGATCGAATTGTTCGACTTCTATTGGCATATGAGCTCCCTACGCATCCCAAATTAACATTCAGACAATATGGAGGCGTCTGTATAGGAACTCAGATACCAATAGAGGTGGAACTATTCGATCCAATAAACCAATGGAGAATTACAAGTATATCAATAAACAGTAATAACTACTACCCGTTGTACAAGAAATATTTATCGTTCCTCCGTGGCATAGTGGATAGCGCCTTTGGCGTTTGAAGCGATGAGCACGAGGTTCGGGTTTCAGTAGGGACAACATCACTGGGGTGCAGGTACATTCAGCTGACGAGTCCTAAATAGGACGAAACGTGAGTCCTGGGTTCCTCTACTAGCCACAACCAACCAAATTACCATAAAGTCAGTTAACTGTTTACTTTTTATCATAGTAAAATCCAGTCAGTTCTTATCTCAATACAAACTGTCCAATAAATAAGTGATTACTGATTAAACTGTTTAGGATGACTTTTGATTTCAATAAGAGTTGGATGAACGAGGATGCAAGTGGAAGTTGGGATGTGATCACAGCAGGAATACTGACTTCTAAACTGTGGTATTTTTCCTGTTCATTAGTACTGGATGACTGAAGAGAATCACTGACCTGTGTTCGCTGACAATATGACTGTTACGAATAAAGAATTGTGAGTTCAATATATTCAGTGCCTTTTGACATTTGTACTAGGTAGAAGAATACACGAATAATACACGAAACGATAAACGGTTTTATTTCCAAATATGTTATCTCAATATGACCTATAAAATTATTTCAATAACGTTATTAGAAGACGAAGATCATCTGAAAAATGTGATGTATTTGCGCAATGCATTTCAAACAGTGTGACCATACATTTACTTGTCAAGTCAATTATATATATATATATATATATATATATATATATATATATATATATATAAATTATTTTTGTACACAATGGGGGCTTAAGTTTACGAAATGGCTAACGCTTCAGCAAAGTTTCAGTACGCTCTCCTGACTGTTCTTACATAATATCTTAAATGCTGTTTCCGATATTTTTTCCTGTTGGTGAAGATAGATGTCTGTCACTTGCACTTACCAAAATTTGGGTGTTAAATTGTTTTTTCAAGCCACTTAGGTGTACATTCACCCTCCGTAGTCTGCATAGCACGATTACTCTTCCCAATGTATGTGTACCCACATATGTAAATTGGTAAACTGAAATGATCGGTGGTAATGTTTTTGTTGAACTAAGACTATTTTTAATTTGTATTAAATTTTAGATTTTATATAAGAAGTACAAAATGAAGATTGTGTTCATTATTTGTTACAAGTATTTATAAATTTATCTATACAGAATAATCATGGTTCACTGGATCACTTTTGATAAATTCTTTTTTTATATAAACTATGAAATTTCGAAGAGGTTGTGGGGATTTAGAAATATTTCAAGTTGGTATTCGTCGTAGACTGACATCATTTGGAGGAACAATGGAAACCTGAGAGCACTGGACAACTGTTACGTCCTAGTATAAGACTCCTCAACAGTGCGCACCCACGACCCCGCCAGGGATCGAACCCGTGACCTTCAGGTTCCGCCGCTGGCACTTAAGGGTTAGGGTCGGAATCCAACGGTCCATATTCCCAATTTCTGTCAGTTCATTACATAGCGCAACCGCCACGCAGTGTCATCGTTAAGTAACTGTCCTCACAACCATTAGAACTATGAAATTTTCATTCCACAGTTTTCATAATAATACCATAAATTTGTGTTTATATATAATCTGATAAAAAGAGTGAGTAGGAGTTAAAAACGCTGACAGACTGATATAGTTAAGTAACTGAGTTATCTATGTACGAAAAACTGTTGACGAAATCCCAATACAAATACGGAAACGTTTACTAGACATCATCACATTAAACCATTTATGAATCGATAGGGAAAACCATTAACTTGACACAAGTCTAGTATATACAATAATAAAAGACTTAGTAGAATGTAGTGATTAAGGTTGTTTTTTAATAAATCGGTTACCATGTTGAAGACAGCTACGTCTAGCGTAAGCAAATTAAATTTTACTACCTGGTAACAGGTTGATGTTAGGTGAGACAGGTATCAAAAGGAGCATAATCTCATAAAGTAAATAATGCTGTACCACTGCATGCTATATGAAAACAAACTAATTCAATCTGCAGTTGTGATCTACAATGACGCACAGGTTTTACTCGTGCCTTAATAAGAAAAGAGTCTAAGGCACAAATGGGTGTTTGTGAATCATCCAGGTAGTGCTTAATTTTTGTTCAAAAAACATTAAACATCTCTATCCTCTAAGAGTGAAATGTTTATCATACACTCAACCAGCTGTTTCAGTATTCTACTAATGTACAAATCAGAATCTTTGTAAGAAAGTGAATGGATGGAGTTATAGTTCACGTTTTGCAATGAAAAGTATAATTAACCACCTTGCCCCTGTTACTTTACAACAAAACCGATGTTTTTCACTATCACCCTTAAAGTTATAATTTATGAAGCCTAATCTAGACTGCTTACGCTAGTAAAGTGTTTAATTTTTACCCTTGTACAAACTTAATGCAATATATGAATCATATTAAGTAGAATTACAGAGTAAAATTATTCAATGCCTGCCAATGAATGATTGATGTTAGACTGTTTGAGATAGTTTCAATTGGAAGGTTGACTATAATATACAGAAATGGTGACTGAGTCCGTGACCGATATTTCAACCACTAGTTAGACTTGACTTCAAATTCTTCAATGACATTAATCGAACTATTTTTCTGCTGTGCATGGAATAGAAAAAGAATATTTATGAGACATAAAGAGAAAGAAGTTGTCAACTTACAATTTCTGGTCTACTTTTATTTTTTGCGGCTTCTTCTGCTTGTTTTTGACGCTCTAAGAAAGCTTGCTTAGCTTGTGTAGCATATCGAGCTTGTTTGTCTGCTCCATCATTACCATTTGTATGATTTTCTTCAACTAATAAAATAGTCTTGACCGAGTGTCATAAATTTTTGTTAGAAAGAAATAGAAATGTAGAAGTAATTAAAATTTTTATCAAAAGTTTTAAATTATATCAGTTTTTTTGTTTTAATCATGAAAATAATTAATAAAAGCATATGGCTGTGTGTTCTTTTTATTTTTCCTTTAGAATTTATTGTCGAAGGTATGTCTGTAGCCTCATTAAAAGCTTATGCTCACCAGATGTTGAGTTTTTATAGCGCTGCGGTATAGTGAGAATCAAATACTGGGAATAGATCTCATCAATATATTGCCTTAAACGTTATCATATCAAAAAGGATACGATGTAGCTATTATATTCACTCTTACAATAATCTGTAATAGTTTGTATCAGATTAAAACAGATTTAGACTCTATTTGGTTGGAAAAAATCTGTAGGAAGCCATGGACTTAAGTTTTGTGCTTCTTAACACTCGCCCCTGGCAGATTCAAACTTCTATCAACAGTGAGTACCGCTAATTTGAATCCAAAAGATCAGCTATGTAAATGCTGTTCTTGTGAAGCTACTAGTATTATTGGTTTTTCCTTCATCATCTAATTTACTGATGACATAGAAATTAAAAAGGATACGTATTTTCGTTACAGCTTCATCAGATTCTCTCTTTAAATGTAGTGTTTTTCGCTAGGTAACACACATCAAGTGGTCACAAGAACTCAGGAGTGACCGACATAAGTGAAATTGAGTAGCAGTTTATTTTGCAGGAAATCGAGTAATTAATTCATGAAAGGGATCAGTGGGTACAGGAAGTCATCAGTTGGCCATTGAAGGTGAAAGACATGAGAAGGCTTCAAGTGTTTGACCACCGTTGCCTTCATAGTACAAGCCGTACTCCATGGTATCACCACGTGGGTAACGCAGAAGTCAGGTATGCAGATTTAGGGAGTAGAGGTAAGTCTGTTGACGAGGTTATGAACCTTCATCAACTGAAATGGTTGGGACACGTGTTACGTATTCCTAGTCGCCGATTGCCTTGTCACACAATGTTGACCGAAGTAGGTCCAGGCTAGCCAGACTAAAACATGGCATCAGTGTATGAAGTCTCTGACTGTTGGTTTGAGCCATGTGAGGCTATGCAGACTAGTCGGTTGAGGTCCGCGGGACAAGATGAACCAGTGACTGGAGACTCTGGGTGATATGGCTGAGAACCGATGTCAGTGATGCAGATATATACATGCATTATCCTCATCTTTACGACGATATACCTAATCTCACCACTTTCTCATTCTTCCCTTCTCTCTTTTCGTACCGTATATTTCTTTTGACTGAAGTTTCTTATCTTCATTTTGCGCCTCACTTCCTTTTTACTTGATGTACTGATATGAGTTAAGGTGTGACAACTTGGACTGTTACACAGTAATGCCTGGTCGTATGTTGACATTGATGATAATGATGAGAAATCAAATAAAAAATCTGCAGTTTGGTGTGTCTCTTAAGCTCAACTGAATATAATTGATGGTCATTTATATTTCACAAAATGTATCCTACTGTTACATCTAAAAATCACGTTTTCTTATATGTCTATGTTAGCGTGTATTTATCACTTCAACTGTTTCTTTGCAATCGGTTATTTTGGATGCACCATGAGAATCTTTTCACAATATCTTCTAATAGGGCTGGTTAGCCAAAATGAATTAAACAGGATTATGAGTTCCATTCATTCTTGCCTAACAAATATCTACCACACTGTTAAAAATAAATTCGCACATACATTCATATGATCTGGTATCAAAATGATTTCAGTAATCTGCACATACGTTTCTCATATTAACTTGTTTAAACTCTAGATGATTTAAAACTTCTTTTTCTCTATTCTCATATTATCTAATATTCATTAGTTATTATGACAGATATTTTTAGTCTTTGAGTAGTGATTTCCTGTATCAGTTGTAACTGATGATCCCCTATGCTTTCTGATCCTCTTTTATGTATTGAATACCGGAAATACTTTTAAATTATCTGTTACACAACTTTAATTCAAAAAATAGTCAATGTTGAGTACCATTTAACTTTTATGATACGTATATATTCCATATTGAATTGAAGAATAAAGCCTACTAAGGCTTTAATGAAAGCTGGTTCGAATCCGGCCGTGGCTCAGATTTTCATCTCACCTTCAATCATCACCCAATACATATACTAGTCTGTCAAACTATAGCTATCTTAGACAGTCAAATGATAAAGAAGGCATATAAAACCTCAAATTTTCATCTTCACATTAATATAATGGAGGTTCTAAGAATTTAGCGTTACACCTATGGATGATATGAGGCTTTCAAGGAGTAAAATATGAATAAAACAATTGTTCTTAGTAAATATTATACCGTCAATCCTTTTTCTTTTTTGACAACCGGTTTCTCAAGTCGATACTACTACACTCATTACAGACCATGGAATCCCGAAGGTCCTAGGTCCGATCCCCGGCGGAGTCATTGATGCTCACAGCTGAGTCCCATACTGGAATGATGTCAATCCATGATGAATATCAACCTGTAATCGTAATATGTCTGTTGACTAATGGATGTAATCTTTAGTCAGTGATTGCAATAAGTTGAACCGCTAGTGGATTTTTTCAACGACTCCTTTTTTGTTTCAAACAGTTCATATCCTACTTCGTTCTATTGGTACATTATTAGTTATTACAAAAATGGATAAATCCTGTTTCTTCTTAAGACCTAATTCTTTAGTTAATTCTTCTTCTTGAAGTATATCACTAACTGCTTACCTTACTACGTGGTGTTTTCTCTTGAATTTTGATGCTTCTTGCATAAATCGATTCTTTGCTTCTGATGCCCATTTAACAGAATTATTTGGATAATCATCTGCTTGATCATCATCATAGCGTATTACATTGTCTAGACGTGTTGGTTCATTCTCGTATATTCCACTTTCTGCAGCATTAATATCTATAAGCTGTAACGAGAAAAGGGATAATAACGATATTGGGAATGTAAAACATGTTGACTTTTTTTCATGCACCAAAAGCAGTTGACGATAACTAGTGAAAATGTAGAGGACTTAAATTGATGTTGTAAAGTATTTCAGTGCTTTCCAGTAATATACCTCTATTAATCATCTACACAATGAAAATAAACATTCCTGTAGGTTTCTTTTCTTCTAAATAATTAACTTCATTCCTACTAAAACGAATTTGATTTAGTCGTATGTATAGGGGAGAATATTTGTAGCTCATATAGGAGATCTTGGCTGTATTGTGTTCTCTGAGGTGGATGGTTTAGTTATATGTATGTTACGGTTACTGTGAGGCTGTGAGTTGGTTGCAAAACTCACAGTTGATTATAACCACTTCAGATAATAGACGACTGACAATTAATTTCTTCTTACTGATTCCTATAACCTATTTTTTGTATCTTAAAATCGCCTGTTCCCTAATCTTTGATTTAAAATTTTTGTTTCACTAGTGACCATCCATCATGAGAATTGCTTTTCTGTCAGCGGAGAAATTATTAAGTTCCATTCTCATCCGCCAATTATCATTAATCGATCATATGTCATCTAATCTGTGTCTCACAGTCATCTAATCTCATTCACACTTTTAGTATATAAGTGGGAGTTTAAGAGAGTAAAGTAAATTAAAACCAGCAGAGATCTTGGTTATCCGGGAAGTGAAGTCTGACAATTGAGTACCGAAAAAGTATATACAGTTTGTTTGTCTAACTTAACCTCAACTTGTCTTGGATTGTTTGGTTTCGTTTTCTTGACTTTTCCCTTCGTTAAATTACTCTTTTTTATGCTTTTGTTATCATTATCTGTAGTATTATTTTTACACTGAGTGGTTTCAAGTGTTACATTATTTAATTTTATCAATAATCTCAACTTTTAACAAAACATCTTCATTTCCTAAACTTATCTCATTCATGATTAGCTGTATCATGTTTTCAACCCTTTTTAATCTATATCCACTCCATGAATGATTTAAAAACCTCACGTAACCACTTTGTGTTATCATTCAGCCTTTACGTCAGCACCTAGCTATAATATAACCATAACAATCATCATCGTTATTTCTATCTCTCATTATTTTAATTTAATTTTCTTCCTCTTCTTAATAAATTGGTTGAAAAAAGTCCTCTTCCCTAAGTATCTTGTTTTTGATACCAAAATGGGCAGTATGAGTTTACTATCTCACATTAATGAGCTGGTAAGCGAATGATTAGTTACTTTCCAATATTCCCACACAGACAAGTATCTGATTACTATGAAATACAATTTGATTAACTATTTTTTCTGTTTATCTATTCACCTCCATCCCTTTCTTTCTCCTTATATTCTACTGAGCACTAACTTCTGAGACCAGCAGTCACAACCTTAATGACCATAGTAAATTAATCGGGTCTTTTTAGTTTCTCCCTTAGATAACTAATAATCTGACTTACTTTTATACTGTCTCTTTTGACAACTGAAGTATCAGCCGCTTTCTTTAGGAATAATTCTCTTCTTTCTTTTGCACTTATACCAGAGGGTAGATCATTTTTCATATCACCAGCCCTAGCGATATTTTCAAATTTTTCAGGTTCATTCTCATATACACCTCCGTAACCCTAAAAATAGTAAACGTGTGCATTAAGAGGAGAAAAAATAAATATTTATGGATATATGACAACAATAACATTTTTCGTTTCTGAAGTATACTACTGAAACAATAGAAGTAGGTAGACAACTTATGCTAAATTATACTGTGTGTCAGGTAGTCATTTGTGGAAGGATATTATGTCTTAGCCAACATGATCGTTTACATTTACTATTTCATAGTTCAGTTTGTAAAGAACGTTAGTGAGTGATTCTTGTATAAATACTGCTCTCTTTACTTTCACATTCAGACTACTTTGTTTCACTTTCATTTGGTTAGTTTAACGATGCTTGCTTCTGGCTAACCGTGGAATCGAGGATGTGCATTTCTTCCTATTTCTGACTCGTCACTGGAATACAGAAGCATCCAGCTGACGAGTGCCAAATGAGAAGAAGAGAACGTCCTGTATTATCCTGCTAGTCACAATCCATCACTAATATCAGAAAGAAAATATCGGCAATACTGAGGGGTCCACTGAGGAGACCATATGCCTCAATGGCAATAGAGACTGATGAATTTAATCCAACCAGTGATGTCGGTTTACAAGCTATGCCATCAAAATGAGTTCAGCTTGTTGAAACTTTTAGTATGTTACTGCTTTCCGAAGGTATGGTAAACGATGAAGTGTATGGTGAATGATTGAATGTGTTTCGAATTTAAGTCTTCCTTCTATTATCTAGGTAACCAGCATCGCTTCGGCTTATAGTGATTTTTTCGTGAGCATCATTATAAACTTCCCTATAACTTGAATTCACTAGTGCTGTTAACTTGATAAGGCATTTCTATGATCCTAAGAAATATTTGAAAATGAATCGAGCTAACTAGAAATGTTTGCATTATGTTAAGCTTTTTGATCAATATAATATACTACACTAGTCTTACCTGATTTCTCCGGAGCATACTTGCTGTTAGATCTACTGTGCACAAACATTGGGTAATTCAGTAAAGGAACTTGAATGCATCTGAGTCCCACCTACATTTACTTGCCTAAATTAGGATTCAACATTTTTGATTCCAAATTCCATACTGTCTTACCTATTAATAATTTAGAAAACCACTAATTTTCGCTTTAAGTAATTATAAATCCACTGAGTCGAATGTAGTCACTATTTAACACTTCGTTTATATTTACTCTTTTTACCATATGTTCAAGCATTCATAATTTCTGTGTTATCTATAGTCAAGTAGTCGCTTGTTTTAAAACCAAGTAAATAGTAGTCTTATGAGGTACAAAGTCTATGTTTATGTGTAGCAAAAGTTAATGCAGTCATGAGTCTACTTATGTTTTCAGTATTCTTTGTTTATTAGTATGAACAAATGCGGAAACTAGGTTAGCGGTTTTCTGTCGAATGGTTGCTAACATCTAACAATATGAACTGTTCAGTTTTAAGGTTTGTGGGAATTTATTTACTTTGTGTCAGCATTCATCATGAATTGACATCAGTTAGAGAAACATCAGAAACCTGAAGCTACTGGACAGCTGTTTCGTCCTAGTATGGGATTCCTCAGCAGTGCGCACCCATGACCCACCACCGCCACAGAGATCGAACACAGGGCCCTCAGGTTTCGTGGACAGTACGTTACCATTGAGCCACGATGTAGTGTGACCTCCACTTAATGCTATCGTTGAGTAACTGTCCTCGTGTTCGACTTGGCTGACCCCACTGGTCACGACTTCTCATTCTCCAAACTGAATTAATCTAGTGACTAGCTTTCAGAGGTGATTCCCAAAGTTCCAATGAGAAGTCATGACCAGTGGAGCCAACCAAGTCGAGCATGAAGATAGCTACTCAAAGATGGCATTGGACGAGGGTTTCTGTATATCGTGAACTGACAGAAGTAGAAAATATCTACCAATGACTTTTGATACAGTGACCCAATGGTCACGTTCTGACCACGGAACCTGAACATCCTGGGTTCAACATCTAGCGGGGTTATGGGTGCGTACTGCTAAGGAGTCCCATACTAGGACGAAACATCTCTCAGTGCTGCCAGGTTTCTAATGTTTCTCCAACTGATGTCAGTTCATGATAGATACTAATATGAACTGTATTAGTTATATTGTAACCATAAAATCATCCTTGTTTTCCTTCACAACTCACTTTCAGAAACGAAGCTGAAGATAATCCCCGTAGACTTTATGAGGATTCGGTCAAGTAATTAAACTGTGCAAATTATGAGTTACCTAAATCTTCAAGAATTCAATCTTTCTAAACTATGTTAAAAGTATCACACTTAAGTGAATAATAGTTGTGCCTACTGAAAGGAAATCAGTAGTACAAATAGAACTTTTAAAAATGTTAAGCTGATTTAATGGTGATTTAAATAACTGATTGTTTAAATCGGTGAGTATATCAACATCCCTTATTCTTTAAACTATGCTTAATTTGATCTTCAAATTCCTGAGATGTTTTAAATAATGTGATCAAAGTAACATATTTATTTTATGTGGCTGTAATGTCCTGTACCTTAATAGTATGATTGCTAAACAACTGGTTATAAAGTATTAGCTCAAAAATTCACATCTCTATCTGTATATTGCTCATAATAAATGAAGATGATCCTGTTCACTTTTTCGTGCTTATGGTATGTAAAGCTAGTCACATGGACAAAGGATTTTCCGTCATCTAAAGGCTAATGTTATCTTTGTATAAAAATCAATGGTCTTTTCATGCGATGTATTCTAAGTGGGGTGAATAATGGTCAAGGTGAAACATATGAGTTGGACTAACCTTCCAATTGGCAATGTTATCATTACTTAGTTCGGAAGTTTATGGATCATGGGTGCGTATTACTGAGGAATCCCATTCTAAGACGAAACAGCAATCCAGTGCTCCTAGGTTTTCAGTGGTTCTCCAACTGATGTCATTGGGATTGTGGCTCATTGGTTTAGGGTGATGACTGTCAACCACTGGGTCCCAGGTCCAAACACTGCTCCACCTATCGAGGTTTGGGAAGGCGGGTAGTATCACTAGCACTCACACACTAGGTGTGGCTGAGTGGGTTTCGTCTGCTCAGTTCATATTGGTAAGTGATGAATACCAATTTAAAACCAATAAATGAAACTTCCCAAGCCTCCAAAATGAATTACTGTCCTGTGCTCACTAGTAATATTCCTCAAGGTGAGATGCTTAAAAGTTGTAACGAGAAATCGTGACCGGTGCAGGAAACCAAGTCAGATGTGAGAACAAATATTCAACGATGGCATTGGACGATGTTCGAGCTATATCACGAATTGACAGAAGTAGGGTAATGCGATATAGGTGACCCATTGGATTCCAACCCTGGAGCTCAGCAGTAACCAGTCTGTCACAAAACCTGAGGGTCGTGAGTTCTATCCAAGCTGGAGTTATGGGTTTGCACTGCTGGACAAAACAGGTGTCCAGTTGGCATCTGAATGATATGACTGAATGATGATTACCACTTAAAAATATTACACTTATCGCTATTATTGTCACTAACAGCAGTACAATTGTTTTTTTAATGGTCTTTGGCCGCTAGATAAGCCGTATATCTTTCAACTGATAAATATTTGAACAGTAACTTAAAAATATAGAATGGCTGTCAACTCTTTACTTCAACTTCATCAATTTTGGAAAGCCCTCTGACAGCGTCGACCGAGAAATAGTTTGGCAGCTGCTTCAACACTACACAGTATCACAAACCTTTATCAATCTCACTTAACAGCTATATGACGACGCCACACGCCAAGTGATTCACAGTGGAAAGCTGAGTGACGCCTTTGAAGTGAAGGTAGGAGTAAGACAAGGCTGCCGCCCACTATCACCCATGATCTTCCTGATTGCGGTCGACTGGATAATGCAGCGAACCATGAAGAGCGAGAAGATGGGCATACACTGGCTGGATCGATGAAAAGACCCCAGAAGATTTGGATCTCGCCGCCGATAATGACTTAAGTCTAATGTCTTGTCACGCAAACTCGAGGATCTACAGGAAAAAACTAACAAGTTGACAGAAGAGGCGATGCAGCGGAGACTGGACTTCAAGTGAATGTAGAGAAGACAGAGGTGATGAAGATACCTAACCAACAACAACAAGCATCAATCATCATCAACGGAAGGAATCTAAAGGAATTTGTCTCATTCACCTACAGAGGCAAGACAGCATCGTTTTAACTACAGGCAACGGCGGCAGAGAATAGGATATCAAAGGAGCCAGGATCACAAAGACAGAAAGAAAGGCCCTCATTAATCTTAAATCATGGTGGAGATCTACTCCACTGCACTCAGCATAAAGCGTGAACAACATCTGGATTTTCAACACTAATTCAGTCAAGTCAGTGCTTTTATGTGATGTCTGAGAAATTTAGCGCGTTACGAAAAGCATTCCCAACAAACTACAGACATTCGTCAACAGCTACCGCCTACGCCACTCGATACTGAAGATGAGATGGATTGCCAGAAGGAATAAGCAACAACAAACTCTGGCTGACAACGAACCAACCAAGAAGCTATCGCCCAAAAAATATGCAGAAGAAAGTGGAGATGGGTTGGATTGGGCCTTCCCATGAGAAGACTATTTGAGGACATCACACGCCAGGTCAGGCCAGGCCATCAAGTGAAATCCAAATGGGAAACGATGAGTTGGGCGTTTGAGGCGAGGTGACATGGAGGAGATTGTGTGAGTAAGAAATGAAAGCTTGTGGGCATTGATGGAGCCAGGCTGAAAAGACAGGAGACTGAAGTTCTGTGTTCCACTAGGAACCCAAAGGACAAATTATATATATAAGGAATAACAGTAAGTTCACTTAGTAAGAGGTGTTCCAGTTTATTGTTTGTTGACAGTTGTAACTTCTAGTTGTTATAATGGATTGAATCGGTCGACCTCTGTCGGGATGCCTTGATAGTGATCGTATATTCATTGTTATAATTTAACTTGGTGTTGACTAGCAATGGGTAACCGGATGTGCGTCTTGTTGTGTTTGGGACCCGTGATTGGTAATGTTTCCCTTGAGACTCAGATCCAAGATAAATTGCTTTAAACGCCCAAGCGTTATCCACTGAGGCAATATCAAGGCAGGAGCCCGTTTGCCAACGGAGGTCAATCAATTTAATCCGGTATAACGAATGGAAATTACAGGTATCAGCATTTAGTAATAACAAGTATTTGTTACTCAAGAGATACCTCTTGCGACTCAGTGGCTTCAGTAAATAATGCCTTGGAGGTTGAAACGATGATTACGGGGTTTGAGTGTCAGTGAGAACGCCATTCTTCACTGGGTTTCAAGTACATCCAGCTGACAGAACACGTGTTCTTATTTAATCCATATTAGTGACTAAAATATATTCACATGACTCAGTCGATAAAAAGGAGGTACTCCGTTGATAGAATTCAGTTTTGCATTTAAAACACTTTGAATAATTATTGAACGATCAAGAAGTGTACTTGTTTGGGTGCTGGTACCAATCATGATAAATGGAAATAAAGTTGCTGCTTTGTCTTAAGGTGCAACATTTAGACAAAGAATCCATATATTCAAGTCTGTGAGAGGACATAAATCTCTCTAATTCTCCATGTACACTGTACATCTTAGTGCAAGCAAAGACATCTTTCATCTATCATTTAATATTAAAAAGAGGTTTATTAATGTGAATAAATTTCTTGCTTATATTCGACAAAAAATGATCAAATTAATAATATTCTATCACTTACATCATGTATATCAAATTTTGGTCGTTCTGATGAAACATCTTTGTCAGTTTTACCACTTTCAATATCTTTCCAACGTGCTCTAGCATTTCTTGTAGCTTCTGGTGCAACTGTCATTGATTCATCAATGAATGAACTCTTTTTACGATTCTCTTCATCTAAACTCTAATGTTTATTATGAATTTTTTTTCAAACAGAAGTAAAAAACAAAACATTGTATTAAAAATAATTTCCATAGAAAAATATGTTTGTTAATTAGACAATATAAAATAGCCTTATTTAGAAACTAGTCTTCATGTACAGTCATAATGATTGAAATTTAGAGAACCTGATCTTCAACAAATTTGAATCAACCGCTTTAGTGCTAATTTTGCTGTCATAACAATTAATAACTAAGAACACTTTAATTTTCGGGTTTGTGAAGATTTAACGAATTTTCAAGTTGGTATTCAACATGGACTGACATCAGTTGGGGAAGCGTTGGAAACCTGAAGCATTGGACAGCTGTCCCGTCCTAGTGTGGGACTCCTCAGCAGTACGCATCCATGACTCGGCCCTCTAGGGACCGAACTCAGGACCTTCAGGCTCACCGGACAGCATGTTACCACTGAGCTACTGGGTCGGAATCCAGTGGCCACAGTACCTGAAAGTCCTAGGTTTGACCCCTTACTGAGTCATGGTTGCACACTCCCGAGCAGTCCCACACTAGTACTAAGCAGCTGTTCAATGCTCCCAGGTTTCCAATTAAGAACAAGTTGACTACCTTATAACCACTCTTTTGTTGATTGACTACTTATTAACCAATAAGTAGGTCATAGTTATGTTATTTCTGTTGTATCTTTTGTTTATCAATGAAGTCATTTTTCATCATAATATATATACAATCCATTCAGTTCACCAGCAGTTGCTTTTTGTTATTTCAGCAGAACGAGTTTGAAGGAAGTCACCATTTAGATTCAACTGACCAATCAAAGTAGGAGTCATTAAGAAGTATATATTTGGTCACTTTAGCCTAAGGGTTGATCATAAGCATTTAAATTAATACTAATTGACCATGTACATATGCTTATATGCTAGATTATGAACCACACTACTGTTTTGATGGCATTTACTCGACCGCTTAGGCAGGATGATATGTCATTATGGCACCCACTGCTAAAGTTAATGAACCACATTTCCACACCATTTTGTTGATTTTACTCAACATCAACTAAGTGATTTTATGCGTGAAGACTCATACATCGACAATACAAAATTTATGCGAAAAACTGGGAACATTGTCATTTTTAAATTGAATTTTCTTAGAATCCAGATGATTCCATGAGCAATTATAAAGTGTAGAGCAAATAATACATGATTTTAATGAATATAAATTCAATTATAGGTAAATCAGCACCTTGATGTATGATTGTATGGTCAATAGCTAAAATTCAAAACAAGCAAAGAATGTGAAAGAAAGAGGATTTAATGAATTCCAAGTTGGTGTTCATCTTAGACTGACATCAGTTAGAGGAACAACGGGGATCTGGGAGCACTGAACAGCTGCTGAGCCCCAGCATGGGACTCCCCAGCAGTGTGCACCCACGACCCCGCCAGGGACCGAACCATCGACCTTCAGGTTCCATGGCCAGCAAATTGCCATTGGGCCACTGAGTCGAAGTCCAATGGTCCATATTTCCAACTTCTGTCAGTTCACGACATAGAGCAACCGCCACGCAATTTTACCGTTGAGTAACTGTCCTCACGACCATCAGGTTAGCCCCACTGGTCACGACCTCTCATTGGAACTTCTCGAAGCTAGTCACCAATGAGCACCAGTTCAATTGAGTTTCGAGGACCATGGAATTCTGACCCAGTGGCTGAATGGTAATGTGCTGGCCACGGGACTTGAACGTCTCGGGTTCGATCCCTGGTGGGGTCGTGGGTGCGCACTGTTGAGGAGTCCTATACTAGGACGAAACAGCTGCCCAATGCTCCCAGGTTCCCTTTATTCCTCCAAATGATGTCAGTCTACGATGAATACCAACTTGAAATATTTCTAAATCCCCACAACCTCCTAGAAATTCAATGAATTCATAAATTTCAGTAGTACTCGTCAGCTGAATATCCTACGTACTTGATTGTGTATATACCGTTTAACAATGGAAAAGAATATATATATATATATATATATATATATATATATATATATATATATATATATATATATATTGTAGACTGAGATAGATTTCGATGTAACAACATAGAAGTGAACAGCTTTTACGGGTCAAATGGTAGAAATGGTCAGATGGATAGAAATGGATATTCAAAATTGATTGGGTTGGGGATAAGTTAATTGAGTTTGAATAAGAGTGGATTTCAGATAAGAAAATAATAATGATAAGAATAATGTTGACACAGGGGTGAGAACTGAATCGACTGAGCGTCGATTATGTCATTGAAAATAAGATAGTTAACAGTACTTATGCAGACAATAAGAAAACCGGGTGTATATTGCAATAAATAATAATGATAACAATGGTAGTAGGAATAAGGTTAATTAGGCGAAATAAATCAGGGAGAGAAAACAAAATACCAGATGGGTGATAATTAGGAGCGAAGAGCAAATAAGAGAGATTAAATATGATTAGACAATGTTGTAATTCCTACCATGGCAAATTCAAGCTGACTAACATTTTCCCGCTGAATCCAGAGGTTTGGCTTGACAACTCGAATAGCACAGGCCTCTGCATATCCAAGCAACTTTTTATTTTGCTGTCTACTGATAACCGTAAAGGACTTACAGGTATCAATATCATATTCATAGTCTATTAAGTGTTTCATTATCGAGCTCCTCAGGGTCTTCTTCTCGGCGTGCTTCAACCATTTGGGTAGGTGCTCAACCATTCGTATAGACAGACACTTCTGCGTACGACTAATGTATTTACTTCTGCAGGTACATTCGAATTGATATATGCATTTAGATGTGTCAAGGATCGCAGCCCTGTCTTTCACTGATTGTTGTAGTACCTTTTTGGTAGTGCTGATGAGAATGAGTTTAGCAGCGTAGTAAGTCCTTCTGACAGACTTCTCCAGTCTTCGTTTAACTACTTCTAGCACGTCGTCACCTTTGAATGGCAAGGTGGTATAGACTGGTTTTTTCTGCACTGTTAGACACGTTGTTCTACTCCTTACTCATTTTGCGTGCTTGTTGATAAAGCTTCCTGGTTACCCATTCTTCACTAGGACGTTTATGAAAGTCACCATTTCATAATCTAGTGTGCTGTTGGAACAAATTTTCTTGGCTCTGTTAAACACTGTTCTGACTACATTCACTTTGCATTGAGTCGGTACAAAGCTCCTAAAATGAAGGTACCGTCCTGTCTGTGAAGGTTGCTACACCTAAATCTGTCTCAGTCTACGTTATATATGTATGAATGTTCTTTTCCATTGCTTAACGGTACACATAATCAAGTTTGTACAGTATCCAGCTGACGATTACTACTGAAATTTATGAATCCATTCATCCTCCTTTTTTTTACATTCGTTGCTTGTTTTAAATTTGTATCGGGAAACAAATGTTTTCAATAGCTAAAACGTTTATTCAACCATCTAATATACTTTCGAAGAAGATTATACTCAGATGTACTATGAATGAGTAGTTTATTTCTCAACTGATTTGTCTTGATGTATGGTCTTTTCCCGAATTTGATAAAGTGCTACCACAAAATGCAGTTTGATTTTTAACATCACAAGTAGTATAAAAATGTTGTGCAACGAAACATTTATCACTTCACTTTTTTGAAACGTGTTCATTACCAACGTGTCCAGTGACATTTTGTTAAAAAAGCAGAACTGTTCACAAGAAATAAGTTTAGTTAGGCACTTGTATTAGAGAACAAAGTATGGTTTCATATGAAATCATCTTGCACCTCATCTGACTGATTCGAAAAATAATCAGTCACGGAAATGTTGATGCATATGGTACAAGTTTTAAATAATTTTCACGTCACTCATTCAAGTAACTCAAAGGAGCTGATAATTTGGATTGGAGTGTCTTGTAAGTATTTCGAATTTCTTGATCGACGAAAGATATCCATTAAGCCATGAAATATAGAAAAGGTGAACCAGTTAAGCAACTTTTCTTTCTGGATAATGCTGTTTTTTGAAGCCATACAGTCATATTTATAAGTTGAATAATAGGATAATGTTGTCACTAGCATGGTGTCCTGTTTGGTTTAAACGGATGGGACAGGACTACATAACAATTCAAGAGATGAAATTAATCAGAAAAGTATGGAGCTTGATGAGGAAGAAATGCTTCTAGATATGAAGCAGCTAAAAAACGGAAGAGACTTAACGAAAGTGAACAATCAAGACCATGATAAGAAGAAAGATTGAATAATTTCTTCTTCCGCGCGCAGAAAGTCAGTTTGAATTTATGAATCGTAATTGCTTATGTAGAGCACAAGTTGTTTGAACTTTATAGATAGTTTCGAAGGCAGACTTTGGTGAGGTTACGTGGTTAGAACTGACTAGGTGTTCAACAGTCGAACTAGCAGTTAATTTGTACTCTCCTCTTGACAACTGCAAAGAGTAATGTTCAAATATGGTTTTATGAACCGCACTGTTTGCGCCATAAATGTAATTAGGTCAACAAAGTAATCAAACTTGTAAACAAGCATGCATTATAGTGTTTCAGAACAGAAGCATGTTCTCAGCAGACTCGGAAATGATTTGCCGACTGGACAACGTTATGTGTAGTTTAACAAAAATGACTATTCTTCTCACCTCTCGGAATAACGACTTCTTCAGAATTTTGGCTGTAGTATCGTATCCGAAATCAACGTTCATAAACATAATCTTCTTCGGAACTTCATAGATCTGTTCAGTATGTTACCTAAATTTCAAGTTTTCTCAATAAACTTGGATGGATATCCATTTAATAAAATTTACTGAACTCATCATCTGGCCAAATTCTCAGGATTCTTTATGATAATGAATGAATTATATTTCTCTTCCTTCTGAACGATGTTAATTTGTAAAAATTTATGTAATGCTCAATACATTTCAGCCTTTTGTAGAATGACCAACTAAGCGAACCATCTGGCCATTTTGTCAAAAGTATATTCAGGAGATGAAATCCCCAATTTTCTTTGGATTCTGACATGAAGTTAATCAACGCATGACAATCAATAAATTTCTGGGCTGTCACTTCGATATCATCCATAAATCTCTTATACAGGTAAGAATTATCAGTCATCAAGTTCTAATAAGAGAAATGTACAGATTCGCCGTGAAGCAATCAGGCAGTAGAGGGTCGATTGGAAACCCTTTTCCCACACCATCCTTCCATCCTTATAATTCATTGTTGAATTTAAGCTGGACATTGAAGGTACACGTAAGAAGCGGTTCCTTTCAATAATCTTTTCGTATTTGGATGTCAAAATTATTGTTTTTGATGAAGTCATTCCAAACTCTATGCTGAATAAAATCGATAACGTAAGTTCTTACCCTGTAGTACTTTTTAGAGCAGAAAGTGTCTACTTTCTTTTCCTTTCTGAGACAGGTAGCTACTCAGGCTAATTCAATGCTTTTTTATATTCGTACAACAAAATGTATGTACATTCAATTTCTAAATTCAAATATTGGTGTCACTAATTAAAGGTGCAGTCTAGAATTAAGTAAATACTTTTCACCTCTCGAGTATGCACCGTAATTGCTGCGTAAATAATTGTATAAAGTCTTTCAGTTGGATGGTAAAAATCAAGAATTGTTGAGGGGAATCTTACAGATTAATTCTTAAACGAAGTCTAAGATCTACCATTAATAAATCATACTAAGCAGCTAGGCTTTTCGTAAATGGGAAGACCAAATACATATTGCAATAAAAACCTCAACATTGTATAAACAGTTGCCTTGCATTCTACTGCATTTCTCAGTTGACATGTGTGTATAAACACATACATAGGGAGAACTAATCAAGATATGCACTTGAGGGTAGGGAAACACGTACCAAAATGTCTACGAAAGTAGCTAGATTCCCAAAAAGTCAACAAGTGCAAGTGGCAGGCAACCATCATCTTCCACTGCTAAACAAATTATTGATAAAGGGTCAGTATATATATATATATATATATATATATATATATATATATATATATATATATATATATATATATATATATATATATATAAAGTAAATTTTATGAATCATTCAGAGTAAATCGTTTAACTTTTGGTGTCATCGATGACGTCTAAACAGTATCCTCAACTTAGGTTATTATAAATTACTAGGATGATTTGCATCTGGCTGAATAGAAAAAGAATATGCTAGCTACTTTGTGGTACTTTTCTACACATTAAGTGAAATGGTATCCTCAGACTATATAATGACTCCAACACTCAGAGTTTATAAGTACTTAAAGTAAATGATTATGACCTACCTGTCCACCGGTTGCTTCCATATTTCGGAATTTAGCTCTTAGATTTTTTGTCTTCTCGCTGATTTCTTTCAAATCTACAGGTTCAAACATATCATCTGAAGTAACAACATCTGGTGCTCTTGGTTTTGGATTACTTTCTAAAATGCCAACAGCAACACCATCTGGTGGTGGTGTAAATTCTTTTGGCTTTCTAGGTCCATTATCTATATTACCCGTAGTGGCTTTTGTAGCTTCTTCAATAAATTTCGTTTTGGCTGATTCAACGCCAGCATATTTCATTTTCGGAACAGATTTCTTTTTACCTTTCTTCTTGTCATTATTTACTTCACCAGATTCAAATTTATTTCTTATATTACCCATTCTACCACTACTGACATTTGATGTTCTTCGTTCAGAGTCAGCTTTTTGTTTACCATCTTTAGTATTATTGTTCTTATCTACAGTTTTAATGAATAAAAATATACAAAATTTAGGCGAATGTTTTATATCTACAAGGGCAGTAAGTCAAACTAGAAAAATACATGGTTACATCTAACTTTGGACCAGTTCTTCCTGGGTAAGGTTGATATTCTCATGCATATTCATTCAAAGGAACGAAACTTTTTCAGTAATATATCATCTAATAAATACAAATAAACCCCTTGGTTTTCAGATTTTCTGAAAATGATAATACCCACCTACGTGCCCTTATAATAAGTTGCTAAAAGTGATTTTTCCATGTAAAAATTAGTGTTTCTACTTCTTTCGAACGAAATTTAAGGATTCCTTTTGATTTCAAACTGTTAACTGTGTGATTAAAATCAAGAAAATACATGATAAAAGTTGACTGAGAGAATACAAGAAGGCTATATTGAGATGTAGACTCATCGATATGTGCCGCAAAATCCTGGTAAACACTGTCTCTCTATTCTTCCTACTTGCTTGTTACCTCCTGTACATTTGAATTACAATTAAACAAAGTTCCAATTTTGGTCAACTCCAATTGTATTTATCTATTCAAATGTACATTGCGGTAGCAAGGAAACAAGAAAAACAAACAAGCAGCTGTTTACCAAGATTGCTGAGCACATCCCGAAGAGTCTACGTCTCAGAAGTACATCTTCGTTTAACACTGAAATAACTCGTTATTTATACTGGACATCAAGAAGATGTTTAATTAGGTTCAGTCGAAATAATTAAATTTTCAGCTATCACACCTGACAAACTGAAACTAATGGCTAGCAGTTCCAGTTGTAAAATAACCATTTCTGTTGCCTGTTTGTACAATACTTGCTGTATCTTGAAGCCAATACCACATTAGTTAGAATATGCAATGCATACGTATAGACCAGTCAGAGAAAATCTGGTTTTGAAATAAGATTGCCAAGGCTGACTAAATGATAAGTCCGTAAACCTACATTTTATGAATTCCGAGTATTTGAAGCACTCTTGTTTATCCATTCTGAACAAAAAGTAATTTTTCTGATTTGTAAGAACCTTCACTTGACCACAAAGTTAAACCATAGAAGACATCACTATCAGGCTATAGAATCTAGAGATTAAGTTATGTAAACTAAAATGTTCACAAGTCTTGTTTTGATTTTCGAAGTAAACACTGCACACATTTGTCCTCCATGTTGTATTCATACGACTGATTAGTAAACTCAAACATATTTTTTATAACTGGAGATATTTAGCAAGGTGTTTGTGGAGTTGATGAGAAGCTGATGCATTAAAAAGAGTTCGAAGGCAAACACTTTCGTGTCCACGGATGTTACTATTGAGATTTCATATATTTCTTGCTGATGAGAGTTAAGTAGTAATAAACTTGGGCTCAGTGAACTTTACTGATTAATTTTAACCTATCAACATCAAATCTTAGGCACCTCACTACCGAATCACTCAGTTTCCTGGTTAAATATCGAATTCAATCGATGGGATTCATTTCAGACGACACGCTATCCGTTATGCCAGTTGGCAGATTAGTCTACATTAAAAAAATCTTTTTATATCACTCTGACCTTTTTAAACACTAATAAAACTTGGAAATATTATTGATGTCTCTAATGAAACTACAGTATGTCAAGTTACGTCGATTACGTCGATTCTTAAGAGCCACCATTTTACTACTGTTTATAGGTCTGAATTAATTTTGTAATCTGAATATCATACATACTTGTTTTTGTAAAAGTAATACCTTTCATAGATTTCTACTTTTAAGACTGCAATAAGCTAGTTAATTCATTTTTATCCAACCTAATTAGTTATGGAAGAAAAGGAAAACTGGACCAAACTTTTAAAGACCAAATAAGGAAATTTTATTGTTATGATACTTGTAGTTTCCCGTTGCTATACAGGACCGAATTCCTCGACGTCTGTTGGTAGATGGGCTTCTATGTGGACGCCTCGATACTGTCAGATATTCATGATATTATATTGATCTTAGTGGCTTAGTGGATAACGCCTTGGCGTTTGAAGCTGTGAGTACTGGGTTTCAGTCCCAGTGGGAACAACATCACCCACTGGGATACAGCTACCTCCGGCTGATGAGTCCAAACGGGACGAAACGCGCGCTCTGGATTCCGTTGCTAGCCATTAAGACCAATATACGGTAATTTTACTTATGATAAAGCCTATTATATCGATCTTTAAATTCAGAGAATAGTACCTTTTTTTCTGTAGTAGCTGTATGGATAAAGTTTTAACTTTTGAAATTCTCAGATTATGGAAGCAACTTACATTTGAAACAATAGCTGTCAGTGATGCATTCTCATGCACCCGGTCGATATGCTGCCGTTGAAATATGAAAAAGTATGAATCATGTAGTTGATACCACACATCTTTACAATTATTCTACAAACTACAGTAAAGATGGATAGTAGCTAGTAGTGGAATACAGGATACGCATTTCATCCTGTTTGGGACTCGTCGGCTGGATGCATTCACTACACTACCGAGCCACTTTTTGTGCCACGGGTATAGTTTTAGTACACTTGCTTGTATTATACCGTCATTGACTTGACGGGTTTGATCCATCCCTGTTGGCATATAGGCTCCTGTGCAGATACCTCGATATTACCTGTGTTATAATTATAGAGGGAGGGACAACATCACTCACTGGTAGGCAAGTACATTCAGCTGACGAGCCCCAAACAGGACGAAATGCGCATCCTGGATTCCACTGCTGGCCACTATCCACCATTACTATCATTGGATCACAGGTAATATCGAGGTATCCGCACAGGAGCCCATATTGCAAATAGACGCCGATCAATTCGGTCCAATCAACGACGGTATATTACAAACAATTATGCTATTCTACAAACTGTTTATAAAAACTGTAAACAAACATCAACAATTTTAAAGGCAATTTCTCATTTATGAATCAGCAGACATTACTTACATTTGTACATTGAACTGTGTTTCGACAAAGGTAGTATTTATTGAAGCGTAAATGTTACTGAAGGCTATTAACCACTAGGTTATTTAGATCATAAAAATTGTATGGCTAACCTGCTTGGTTGAATTCCATCTGTCAAAGTATGGCTTAATTTTGTGTGCGCACGAACACACACACATTCATGTATTGCATATAATATTAGACTTCTGTTCATGCTACTCCTAGGAGTTCAGATATGCTTAAGTCAGTCGAGAATGGCATGTGGAAGAAATATTCTGTGGTATTCAGCTGTACACATATACATATAGCATACAAGACTTTATCTACTGTAAAGACTGTAATTAACATCATGATAAATTGTACCATACGGAGAATACTTTAGTATGTTTATTCAAAATGACTATTTCGCTGAATAAAAATGGAGTAATAAATGTATAATATCTTGTTTTACGAAAGAAAAAAGATCGAACAATCGAGAATAAAAGAAAACAAAGTGATCTCTGATGATTCACACGAAGAATAAGTATTAACAATTTGCACTGATTCGGTGTCAGTACGAACGTAGCTATACTTAACTAAGTTCTGTAAAACAGACAGATATAAATTCATTGCCATGCATAATGAAGATTTGAAAAGGTGTGTAATGATGCAGTAATTGGTTGGTTGTCGTTATTCAATGAAATCAGTTATATTAAAAAAATGTGGGTTCAAAATACAATTTATTGGTATTTATTATCTCATGCAAACAGTTTGGGTTTCCTGATTTAGTATTTCAACCAGTGGAGCACAGTTAGGTCCATGACTAACTTCACCTACCATGGTTTTGACAACTAGGCAGTAAGTTTCATTAGTTTGAATATGACAGGTGTGACATAAGCGTTAATACAAATGCTGAGTTCCACTCACTGATTTTACATTTATGCATGATGCAAGGCATAAAACTTGTCATTCCAGCTTGGAATACATTCAGAAGTACGTGTATGTTGGTGAGATACCTAAGATTAAAGATCCAACAAGTTGGTGGTCACCATGGACTGAAATCGACTGGAGAACCATTAGAAACCCGAGAGTATTTCATCCTAGTAAAGGACTCCACAGCAGTGCTCATCCATGAGCCCATCAGGATTTTGCACCAACCACGTTACCATGGGTAAAAGTTCTATGGTCCACATTTTTCTACTTCTTCTACCTGGTCAGAAGCATTTGACCTTTGTAAAACCACATGCGGTAGAAAGTTCATGACAAGTTATTTTTTGTTTATGCAAGTCTTTAATTTGGAAAATTGAAATATACGCCACTCATACGAGCCAATCTTCTTTAGGACTTAAACCATCTGCTGAAATAGTTTATTAAGTTGCTTTATGGAGATAGAAATTACCAGCTTAATATATTACTTAAGGTTGGGAGAAACTGAATCCCGTGTATACACAACCGTTCCATTTTTTAAAGTCAGGTTTATCAGTAGTACATACGGAACAATTCAGTAGAGAAACTCGTTATTTTGTGCATATTGTCTAGTTGCTAACACATTTTAGTTCATGGTGAACTCTCTGATATCAAATCTCTGAGAAAAATGGATTCGAGTTGGTTAGAGGCAGTTGGCAGAAAGTTGTTGACCTAGGTTTCATGCTTATTGGTATTCAGCAGCATGGCGTATCTGAAACCTCGAGGGAACTGACATCCTCTGTGAGGTCTATATCGGTGCCATCCAAGGTTGCATTCAGAGACCTTACCATTCAGCTATTTGTGTGGTGATTGACTTCTTGTAAGACTGGATTAGATACGCTGATTGTCTAGTCCTTAGTGCTGATCAAATTCAATTGATACTTTTTTGTGTTCTTCCAACGTTGCCAATTTATCTTACTGGTGACCATAGATAGACTGAATACCAAACTGTAGCATCAAGTGAAGTTTATCATATTATCTTAAACTCAAAGTCAGTCACCCCAACGCGTACATGATTGACAGATTTCGACTAGAACCTAAAAACAAACAAGTATAATGGTAACTATCCTGTGTCCACATCATATGAGGAGCTGCAGTTCGTCGGTCTAGGCACTCAACTTTCTACCAGAGAGTTACAGATTCAAAGGCCAATCTGCCTACAGGAGTTTGTGCGGCCAAGTAGCATTATTAGCCCTCAAATGAGGTAACTCGTTGTCTGCTACATGAACATGTACTTGTTTACTAGGTGCATTTCAATTTTAACCAACTAGTACACATTACGTCAATACTAATGTATTCAATTTATGGGGCTATTCTAAATAATTACTACGCAACACTCCCTACCATAACTAGTTAGCTTCACAAGAATGTTATTCCTCGCAAGGTTAATGCATAAAAATTAGTCTGATCAAAGTGAAACAATTCAGTAAGTTTTTGGAATTTGCAATAGCTTTCACTTCATTTTTGTTTGGGATTCGAGCAAAAAATTTTAACGCTTGTCTTCAAAATTATGAGTAAAAATCTCATTCTATAGGTTTTACCTAAACAGATAGAAACTATCATTATGTGTATCCAGTTGCTGTTGTCTTGTCGCACCATTATATGTATCAATACTGATTATTTGTTCTTAATTTTCCAATGTACATAATAATAACAAGGGTTCGTTTCTTATATTCCATTTCAAAACCCATAAACTTGACTAAGAAATCATTTATAACATCTGCATTATTTAACAAAGAGATGACTTTCAAACTGAATGCGTGGCTTGTTAAAAGACTTTTTATCTCCTACACAAATAGTTTCATCTCCTTTTTAGTTATAGAGATTGACTCTTTTCTGAAATTTGTTAGGCAATTCACTCAAGCATAGTAGCTACAATTTATAATCCTACTACTTTTTTTTCACTTTTTCGACAAAATTAGATTTTCTGACCAAAAGCTCACTGAAATTTTTATCCGTAACATTTTAATTGATCAGGTTTTAGAAGCCTGAAATTCATTTTCCTATGAAACTAACAAATGAAACTAATTGAAAAAGTAAAGTGTGATACCTAAACTTTATCCAGTAAACCACCTTTAATTTGAAGATAATTTTTTCATTACTTTCAGAAAGGTTTCACCAGCCGTATATGATATCATATAGAAAATATTCCATTTTCCATTTGCTATAATACTATCCACTGCCTAACGAAATATACCACTGAACACCTTGAGCAGATAGAAACCACTCAAGCCGATTTGTAAATTTCGCCAGCCATATCAAGGTGATCTAAATACCGAATGGCTATTTCACTCGGTTGGGCTCATCAGAAGTGTACCCGGACAAATTTAACCCAAGGAGTTGAATTTTACAGATCATTTTAATCCGGCTAGCTAACTTGAATTGACCCGGTATACCTTAATTAAAGGTGATCAATTTACAAATCACTTACAAATTGTACAGTTCACATTAACATATCCATATCCTGATATAGATAAGTGGAAAACTGAATCTGTATATTCATTTCAAGTACTCTTAGGATAACGTAATAATTTGGCATTCAATAGTTGAAATAGCTGTTAGGTTTTTTCATGATGGAACGTTTGGGTGCTTTTTCCTCAACTAGTTCTACTATTCTAATCATCCTATTTCAATTTGTTTATTGCTAAATTCAATTCAGAAGACATTTTCATGCATATATTCAATGATCAATGGAAAATTGTTTAGCTGGTCATATGAAGGAGAAAAAACTATCGATGACATATGATTTGGTAATATGTATCACTTGATACTGATTTGCGTTTCACTATTTACCTTTCATAACATATACTACTACAAATAATATTGATAGTAAGATTTTAAAAATTATTTAGTTTTTTACAAATTAATAATGGAAGAAAATATCCAAAATCTGGAAAATGACAAAGAAAGACATATATATTTATTAAAATCTTCAGGTTCAGTGTATCAGTTCTAAGTCATATGATTCTTCAAAGTTAGAGATAAAATGGTCATTCATACAAATGTGATGCATGTTTTTCAATATTCTTGCAGATAAGTTAACACTAGCCACAGGAACTTAATTCATATTTTGGCAACTTTCCTGATAATTAAGATAAAGAGGTGGTTTAGAAGTATTTCAAGTTGTTATTCATCATAGACTGAGATCATTCGGAGGAACAAAGGAAACCTGGGAGCACTGGACAGCTGTTCCGTCCTAGTATGGGACTTCTTAGCAGTGCACACCCACCACGCCGCCAGGGATCGAACCTGCGTGGCCAGCACGTTATCACTGAGCCACTGGGTCAAAATCCAACGGTCCATATTCCCAGCTTCTGTTAGCTCACTATATAGAGCAACCACCACCCAATGTCATCGTTGAGTAAGTGTCCTCACGACCATCAGGCTTTGCCCACACCGGTCACGACTTCTCACTGGAAATTCGGGAATGCCTGTCGAAGCTAGTCACCAATGAGCACCAGTTCAATTGAATTTTAGGGGAGTTGTGTGGATTTGGAAATATTTCAAGTTGTTTTTCATTGTAGACTGACATCAGTTGGAGGAACATAGGAAACCTGGGAGGGGTGTTTCATCAGGCTGCGGTGAGTGTACATCACTATGATGTATATTCTGGGTAAAAAACATGAATAGGTCTTAAAAAAGAAAGAGTGAGCTTAAAGATAAACAGAAGAGGTTGTGTCATCAGGGAAGTGTGAATGAGAGAGAAATTCCATATAGGAAAGAAATGCACATTCGGGTACTTTTCAGATAAAGATCAACCATGATAAAAAGGGTGTTTTTAGTTGTAGAGCTTCGAATGACACTGCAATCATTCGAATCTAACATGAAACGCGTTTCGTTCTAAATTCAGTCACCACTCTGTATTAAGAGACCAATAATTCTAATTATAACCATCTTTGAAAGTCTCACCAACAAAAATCCACTTATTTAATAAAAAATGAAGACATTTTACATGACTACAGGTAATTGACAGTTAACCCATAAAACCTGGTTTTATTCTAAGTACTACTAATCGACAAGATATATCTTCAACAAAAAATAAACAAATACTTCTTTCAGGATTCGAAGAATCATGGTTTACCACGATGGTTAGATAAGTCATCTTTTAATTTCCCAGGGTTACACCTCATAACCTTTAACAACAACAGAAAGGTCAGATGTCAAACAGAGGAACAGTCAACAGGAAAATCCATACAGTCAATGACACAACCATCAAAGGGAACAACCAATTACAAACCATTTCGTCGGGGCAAGCTACTAAATTAATCACGGGGAGATATTGACAGCCCACTTCATACTGAAGTTAGTGCTGAAGATGTCGTCTAGAAAGACGATGAAAGCTTCACGATTAAACAACTCAACTCAGAGAACACTACACAACCAAGATTGTAAGAATGAAATACATCAGCAGGCGGTTAAAGCTGCTATAACTTGTTCTTTAATGCTAAAGGGAGCTTATTAATCAAGCTTTAGGAAAAATAATTTCGTTTTGAATCAGAGCAATATACATACCCTAGCAGAACACTTGTACACAACAGTTTATTTTTTTGTAGGTTGCATTGAATCTAAGATAAGAAGTTATGAACAATTCACTTTGAGATAATTAGATTGGCATGAAGTTGTTTTCTACTAATTACATAACCTTCCTTCTTACTTATCCAGAAATTTGATTAATCCAATGGACAACAAATTTGATCGCTTACGGATAGTGAACTATCTATATGTGTATATGAGAATATGTAGACTTGAAAATCTAGGTTACCAACAGCCATTTTGGTTACTTATGCTTCAGTTAATCAGTAATGCTTATCGAACGTCCATCCAGTGGTTCAATTTCTCTAATTGTCAAGAAGCAAGTACATGCTTTTGTCAGCTACTCATATTTTTCACTAATATCTCCGTTAATTCTCTTGTCAGAGGAACCACAGTTTTGACTGGATGCTTTTTTATCTAATCTATGTAAATATTCAAAAATCCACACACAGAGTTGAGATGAATGTTAGCAAAGAATGTATACTTAAAAAGTACTCATGTTCTATTTTCCCTTAAGCATGTTACATAGCTTATCTTGAAGAAATTAAGGAAATGCATGCATATGTATACATTTGTATACACAGATCACTGAGCAGACATACATACAAGTAACTGCATGCATAACAGTTTCTCTTAAGAACACATACCATTCCCCTGAGCTGATGGTGTTGTTGCTGCGATAGTCGATGAATTATCAGCCTTAGACATTTTATCTGTGAGAGATAAAAAAAAGAAGAAGAGAAAATGACATGAAATAGTTAAAAAGAAACTCATTCCTTTCTTTTACTTTTCAATAGCTTGTACAAAATTGTTTTAAAGCAAACAAAGAAAACGTTGTTGGTCATGCACACTTAAAGCACAGAGAAGCATGCAGTATATTTTTTTAAATTATTAAAACACACAGTAAACTCCAGACAACAGTGTAGTGATAGCTGCTGTTTATTCTTATTATTCCTGTTGTAATTATCAATTTTCAGTAGTTATTTACATAGAAAATAGAAATATTTGAGAAAAAACTTTTAAAAGTAAAACAAGTAAACTTCAATTCAATACAGAAAGTAGAGGATCAAAGTTAGTTTGATAAATGTTGGTATTTTAAAAACAAATTGACGAATAATTAATTAGCAGGTACAAGAAATAAACAGTTTCAATAAAAGTTCGCCTTCAATATCCTGAATAAAAGAAGAGTAAAATGACAGAATGTATGAACTTAATCAGTTCTCTGTAAAGCAGTTCCTTTTAATTGTATATCAATGTTGTCCAGATTATATCGAAAGTGTATTGCACAACACCAACTTCCATTTTGAAAGATTGCACTTTTATCACTGAAAGTGAAGATTAAACAAAGAACAGAAAGTAATCATTTAGGTACTATCAAATGACTCTATATTTAATGCATATTATTGTAAATAGTTGTATGTAGAATAGTAAGTACTCCAACGTAGATTTTCTGTGAAGTGATAATGCTCGTGACTAACTATTCAGTGACATCGTGTGTTACAGTGGAGTAAAACTCCGTATTTGAACAACACGAGGAGTTACAAACTACCAAAGCTCATCTGTAGATTTCTCCAGTTAGCCAAATCAGAGTAATCTAAACACCGGACTGCCGTTTCGATTGTTTGGAACTGACCTAATCAGAAGTGTACTCGGACAAATTCAGCCCACAGAGCAGAATTGTTGAGATCACTTAGATCTGGTTAGCTGACTTATATCGACGGGTAATATATTTTGTTATTTCATGACACTTTTGTGTCAGATATCACACCTTGTAATCTTGACTAGGTGATTTCCAATGGTAAATCAGCTAACATTGCAGTTGTACATTTGATAAACAACTCAGCTATGAGTAATATCAACGTGGACCGTGCAATTTGTAAATCATTGAGCACTTGTGTCAACTAGTTTTTTGTATAAAGCATGTAATGAAATCGAAGTATCTAGTGGATAACGTTTGATAAATTGTTTCTTTTCATAGTCACATCAGACGTAACGTAAGAACTTTGAGACGGCTTTGAATTAATACCGAACACCAGAAATGACTCAAAATATATTCTAGATATCTCACTGCATTTAGTGCAATAGGTAGAGAAGAATTCAGACTATAAAGACTAACTCTCATAGTTGTGCAGTTAACTTGATTATCGACAGCAAATCGTGTCCAAAACATTATCCAGCAGATAATGCTGCTTTTCTGTGTAATATATTTCATCAATAAACTGAAAATACTTTGCGGTAAACTGGTCCGTAATAAATAATACCCGCAAGAACTATACATCGTACATGTGTCACAACTACTTACAGTATATTATTGGCCTTAGATAAATGGGGATATTACTGCCAACAAGGCACAAATAATTGTTACTTTAGCACAGCCTGTGCAGCTCAGAAGTTTAATTACAATGGATTTAGGCTACTTACACTTCTAGTAATCTCGATATCTCGTCGGTTCGGAAGATATCAAAGAAATGTATCGGTGCCAGTTTCCATCAGAGTAAGGAAATGAGAGAACAAAACGATTGAATCTAAGCACAGTTAAAAACCAAGACTGCATATTTCCACCTTATCTTTAGTTTGTTTAACAATTAAATTCGTTTTAAAAATAGACAACAGTCTTATACCCTGAGCTATGCAGTAACTTACGTTAGAGTTTCGTTGCAAATGGAACATTTGAAACAGTTTCGATGTATAACTTGATCTACTAAATCGTAGCGTTCATTCAACGACATCGGTTTATGACAAATTGAGCAGGTGTTACTCGACTTTCTATCACACTCCATCAATCTATTTAATATCTAAAACAGAATAAAAAAATAGATTTAATCTGAGAGTTTATGAAGATCGATAGATTTCAAGATAATATTTATCACAAACTGACTAGCTGAGGAACAGCTGAAGACCTTGGATCACTGGACAGCTGTTTCGTCCCATTATGGGACACTTCAGCAGTTGACAGCCATGTCCCCACCAGGGGTCAAATACAGAACCTTCAAGTCTATCGACAAACTCACTAGTGGCATACTTCAGAATGTATTTCCCGAAGTTCCAATGAGAATTTGTGACTTATAAGGTCGACCAAATCGATTTAAAAAGAGACTGATATTGATCATGGTGTACACAACTTCATGGTTGTCATGTTTCACTCATTCAATATCTCTCTCCGACCACTAATATCACATTTATTACAAACATATCCATAACTTTGTAATGAAATGTGATGTGAGATTGCACGTTTTTGTTAGTCTTGATTGCTAGACCATTTATCCTGCCCAAACAACAATAAACAAAATAACTATCATCATTTGAACTCACCTCTTAAAAGGTACGTTCTATTAACTTATACTAATGATACTAGCGAATCATTTGACAAAAGAAAACAGGATAACTTAACAACTGTTTACATCGAAATAAACAGCTGTTTACACTATTATTATTGTTTGTCCCTTGGGTTCCTAGTAGGACACGAAGCTTCAGTAGCACATCGCCATTTCACTCTCTTCTCTGCAATCTTTTGAACCTGGCTCCACTACTGTCTTCCTCACACCATCTCCTCCATGTCACACTCACTCGAAAGCCCAACTCGTCGTTTCCCACTTGGATTCCACTCCACGGCCTGGCCCGACCTGGCACGTGATGTCCCCGTATGGTCTTCTCAGTGTATGTCTAGTCAAGTCCGATCCATCTTCACTTTCTTCTGCGTATTTGTTGGGTGATAAGTTCTTAGATGGTTCGTCTCCAGACCGGAGATCATTGTTACTTATTCTTTCTGGCCATCTGTCTGATCTTCAGTATCCAGTGAGTGTAGGCGGCAGCTTTTGGAAATGCTTTTTGCAACGCGCCAAGTCTCTGAACCATTTAGAAGCACTGACTCAATATTGGTGTTGAAAATCCGGATGTTGTTCAAGCTTTATGCTGAATGGAGTGCAGTAGATCCCCACAGTGATTTCAGATCAATGGAAGCCTGGGTTGCTATCTTTCCGATACTGGCTGCTTTGACATTCTCGTCCGTGCCGCCGTTGCCTGCAGCTGAAATGATGCTGCCTGGGTAGGTAGGTGAAAGAGACTACTTCCTTTAGGTTTCTCCTGGTTGATTGGTGCTTGTTGTTGATGTTGTTGTTGGTTGGGTATCTTCATCACCTCCGTCTTCTCTACGTTCACCTGAAGTCGTGTTTCACTGCCTCGCCTAGCCTCTTCTGCCAACTTGTTAGTTTTTGCCTGTAGATCTTCCAGTTCGAGTGACAAGACATAAATCATCATTAGCAGCAAAGTCCAAATCGTCTTCTTGGGTCTTTTAATGATATAGTCAGCGTATGCCCCTCCTCTCGCTCCTCACGGTTTGCTGGATCATCCAGTCGACCACAATCAGAAAGATGATCGGCGATAGCAGTCGGCAACCTTGTCTCACTCCTATCTCCATTTCAAAGGCATCACTCAGCTTTCCATTGTGAATCATGGTATGTGACATCCTGATATAGCATATGGCTGTTAAATGAGATTGATAAAAGTTTATGCAACTAAGACCATAATGTTGAAGCAGTTTCCAAATTGCTTGTCGGTTCACGCTGTCGAAGGCCTTTAAAAAATCGATGAAGTTAAGGCTGAGCTGAATTGACTGCCATTCTATACTCTGTTCTATCATGATGCGTAGAGTGGCGTCGCAATTTGATCCGCACATGATTTGTTCTTCCTGAATCCAGCGCATCCTTTAGTCTCTTTAGGATGATGTGGCATAATGTTTTTCTTACTCGGGGTGGCCGGGGACAGCCTTTTCCCAATCAATCAGCAGGTATCTTTGCTTGCTTGCTTGCTTCCTTCCTTCCTTCGAAACCTCCTGCAGTAGGGGTGTGAGCATGTCCCCTGTTGTCTCTGCGTCTGCTTTTAGTGCTTCTGGCGTGATTCCATATTTTCCTGCTGCTTTCCCAGATTTCCGCAACTTTTATGGCGTTCAGAACTTCAATTCTGTTTTTGTCATAGGTCTTGTGTTCACTAGTAGTTTTGTGGCTGCAGGTGGTATTTGTGGAAGAGTTACAGGTTGTTCACCCTTGCACTGGTTAGCTGTTCACATTATGTGAAGTAAAACAAATTAAATGGTGGACTAGTTAGGCAGTATTACATAAATTTTTTTTAATTATACACTAAAATATTGAGGGATTTTTATCATGTAATCAAGCGGATGAAGAAAATTTGTAGTGTGTTACCTAACTTTCAAGCCAGGTATCAATATGTTCATTATCGTCGCCAAACAGATGAAAGGTAGGCTATAGGAAAGTTTATACGCAAATATTATGCTTATTTGTGAATGTCAAAGAAATATGCCCTCAGACATGAGGAAATTGTAATCAATCCACAGTCGAGATAGTCCCCCCCCTCCCCAGTTATACGTAACGTTCACCAATGAAAATCAACACAAAATACTACATTACATCATTAAGCAACAAGGAATATTCTGTATCATACTGTATGCACAGTTTGCGCATAGCTTACCATACCTGTTTACTTTGACCTGAGTACAACTAAGCAGTCTGGATGAAACAGTCTGCCTTGTGGTCACTCAAGAAAATTCACTTATAATTAGTAGCCAGAATATATAACAACCAAGTTTATATGTCATCACCAGTTAAAAATACAACAGATAAAATTTACATACAACGATTTGAAGTGACTTACAGTTTTATCTTCGGGTTTGATAGGTTTTATTGGCTTTTCTATCCATATTCCAAGTTCATCATTACCCGAGACTGATACTGTCTGAGAATTGTCCAGCTTGATTTCTTGTACTGGTATAGGAGGAGGTGGAGGTGGTGTTGGGCGACTAGCTTTGTGAACATCATTGTTGTTAATGAGATTCAGAGAATTAAAATCATGTTGGATTGTAGTGGATTTTTGACCTGTTGCAAGTATAGGCGCACTAATTTCAGGTCGTGGATTAGAATAGCTACGTTGTCCTTTATCTGATTTTGATCGCGATCGACGTAAGTTAATTTTGGATACGGCTGATGAAAGCAATCGATGCGGTTTTTTAGAATGTGAATTATTTTTAAGTAAATTCTCATTGCTTAAATTGTCACTGCCCCCTCGTAGATCAGGTGTACTTTGTAGATATGACTTTTTTTCATTAAAACCGGAACTCGTGATAATTTCTTGCTTACTGCCGTCATGTTTTTGTTTCAAACGAAGTTTATGTGCTTTATTTGAAGCTAATGGACGTATAGGCATTTCATAAAGTCTAGTTTCTGAAATCAGTTGAAATTTTCATTTTCCACGTTTAATTTGTTGGTTGGTTTCATTAAAAAAAAGTAACAGACATGCATAATATGTAATAAAGATAAAAGCATTCACAGTCAGTAAATTGTGGTATTTTTTCTCATTCAATACCTTTAATCTGTGGATAATATAATCCATTTACATCCAGAACTAAATAAGTCAGATATTTATGCACTAGTTTAGAAGAAGATTATGCTAAGTATCAATCCTATGTATAACAGACAAGTATTTTATTCTCACATTAGGAATTTAATATGGGGGAAGCCAGTTTACAGGCATTATTATATTTATATATGTTCAGAAATTTACACGATTTTACAAGTCCTGAATGGTAAAGAAGGGAGGTCATTAGATTCGATTAAAAACACCAGAAGATTTTGCTAGTTATGAAACGAACAAGAAAATATCACTTTTCAGCATATACAGTGTGTTAAAGTTTAGATCGTTTTCAGTCATACTTTTTTTCATCATAGGTGGCACCAAGATCTGCGAAATTTCAACTTCCGTTACAAGTAGTCAACCTTTTGACTCGTCTTCATAGTGCCACGTTATGCCAGATAAATGTGTATTTTACCATGAATTTTTATGCTCATACCTTCAGAGATCAAAGGAACAGAAACGGAGGATTTCGAGAATCAGTAAGCTTTCATATAATCATATAATCCAAGTGAATATCTATGTCCAAGCATTTCTTCGCTTCAAGCGGTACCGTTCACAGCAATGTAGATTTACGCCATTAGAATTAGATATTCTGCTTTATTCGCATATTTTTAGAGTCAGCCGTTTCAAGAGTATGATTTTTGGTTGGTAGATGTTTGGTTACCGAACTAGACATTCCAAGAAAAGATAATTCATGCATCGTTCTGGAAGAAAACTTAATGGTCATTTGTTTTGAGATAATAGGATGATATATAGGTTAGAATGAGTATGTTAATTGTTTGGTGTTCTCTGAGCTTTGAGATTTGCCCTTGTAGGTTCACCATCGGACTAGGCAACTTCATCAACACTTTCTTTATTAATTGAAGTTAGTTATGTTTTCTAGATTGAATATCACTATTTGACTAGAAGGAGATTAAAGGATACTGCAATTTCTTCAAGCAGTTTGTTTGAAGTCATATAATCTGAACGTTGTAAACACTGTCATCTCTATGTTATACGATTAGTGTACAAGGTCAGTATACGTCAAGGTGGCTATAACTTGAATGGTTTGATTTCGGAAACCCAGTGTGAGAAGAAATTTACTTCTAACTAAAGGTGCAGCTTTTCCCTGAAGGTATACAATCAAGTAATCATCTCTGTTTGTTTACATGAATAAATAAACAACTTCAAAAACTGCTTATAGTTACTGAAACGCCAATGATTGTGTCATAACTGAACTTATCCCTATCAGGTCACCATAAGATCGACCTCAGAAAAAGAAGATAACTTTCATTGTTGAAAGTTTCTAAATTTGAATTTGGTCACTTATTTCTCATTAATGGTATACATTTTCTTAGATGGCTATGACTTGTAACGAATAATTCACTTAAGTTAAATTTTAATCTTTGGAAATTAACTGAATGAGTAAGTATGAAGAGTCGAAGCAGTGTACATCAGGGTAACACAAATAAGAACAACCGTATAAACCAATAAGAAAGACTAATAGTGTATGATACAGGGTGATGACTGAAGATGAGATGAAAATCTTGACCACAGCTGGATTTTCATCTCACCTTCAACCATCGCCCAGTATAAATACTAGTCTACCAAACTACGGATATCTCAGATCGTCAAATGACAATAATGTATAAGTTTGGGAGAGTAATCTCAACCAATCTTTGACCTATATCAGCTGTTTACACTAACGCTTTCACACCTATCATAGACTGTAAAAATGTGAAAAGTGACCAGACTAAAACGTGACATCAATTCGGGAAGTCGCTGACTTTTATCTGAACTGTGTAGGGATATGTAAACATCCAGTTGAGATACAAGCAGCAGCTAAAATGAATGGTTAGTGAATCTACGTAATATGGCTTAGAACCAATTTCAACGGTACAGATGCGTTCAAAAACTATCGTCGTTTGATCGTCACATCACGTTTTTATTATTTTACCCCTGTATTTCTCTCTTCATGCATTATTAAACCTTTGTATACTTTCGTTTTCCGATATCTCTTTCATCTCACTGCCTTCTGTCTTCATCTGCTGATGTGACGTGTAGCTATTTAAACCACTGGACAGTACTGTCAAGTCTTACGTTTATACTGACTGAGTGACGGAAATGTAAGCAAATTATCCATTTGAATTAAATCCCTTGGTGGTTTAATGTTAGCCAGTTAGTTATTTATTTGTTATGAAATTATACTTGAGTTCATAAATTTTATTCAGATGAGGTTTGAACAATCCAACTCAAGTTCATAAGTTTCTTTGTTTGTCTGATTTTTAATCACAAATTAAACGCATCAATTATTCTTCAATTTACCCTAATTAAATGCTAAAGTTGAGTACTAAACACAGTGATTCATTAAAACAAATTTATGACTACGACTTTTTCATTTTTATTCCATGTAGTTTCACAGCTTTATTGAGTTTCTGAATAGGCAGGTACTTAGTTGAGACTTGTATTAAACTTTGATATACTTCAAGTTGGTCTTTTTATATCATTTTAATTATCTGAAATACCTTTAGTTTGATCGGCTAGTACTTATACTGGGTGATAGTTGAACTTGAAATGAAAATCTGGACCGCAGTCGGATTCGAACCAGCAAGTACCAGGTTTCTGACCCAGTGCTCTGCCAACTGAACGAAAAGGCACCGGGTGGGAAACCCATAGGTCGCTGATTCGAATCCGGCCGCGGTTCAAATTTTCATTCACCTTCAATCATCACCCGGGATCTTTTTATAATCCAAACACAATTAGTGTTCTGTGAAGGTTTTTTCTGATCTTTTAAATTGCAGCAAAATTTCACTTTAGGAATTACCACACAACCAAGTGGTTACGTGGAATAACTGTACCCAGGGCTTGTGCTTGTTTGTATTATTTTAAATTTCAGTTTGTATTGTTAGTTTCTTTACTTATGGACGTTAAAAAGGCATGGAACTTGGATATGAGGACCATGATGGAGACAAGGAAGCAGTAAGAGTTGCACAAGCCCACTATAGATGAATGCTGAGAAGCAAGTGGTCTATATTCAATAAATGCTGGCAGTTACCTTTAACTAGCCAATAGCTAAATTATATTCGGATTTATTCACTCATCTTAAAATCTCATCCTCTCAGTTTTATTTTGTGTTAGTGATCGAAACACGAAATATTTTTTAATTCCCCAAAGACTATGCATGCACATCACACGTCAGTCCAAATAAATCTTAGTATGAAATAAAACCGCCTAAGCGTTTTATTGTTTGCATGCAAAAATCATACTTCAGTTATGATAGTTATAGTAATTACTAGCATAACGTAGAAAATTAGCATGCGGAGCTAACAGTGAATTTAAGTTATTGAATAAAATATTAGACACAACTCATTCAGATGCTTACCTTTACTTTTGATGTCTTGAAGAGTAGTTCCCTTAATTATCAAAGAAAGAAAAATCATTTAGCCACAAGTGAAAGTATTGAATGTAATAAAAACTAACTTTTCGAAATTTTAAAGAAAAAGGCACTAGTTAACTGCATCAAACTGAAAAAAAGATTACATATTTGTATTCATCATCAACTGAAATCAGTCGCAGAACCACTAAGAACCAGTGGTTTGCTTCCAGATGAGATTTCCGAAGTTGTGACTGATGCAGCAAGTAAACTAGGACGTCAGAACAGGTACTTAACGACGGTTTTGGAAGGATTTTGCGTTATATCGTAAACTAGTCGAAGTAAGAAATTTTAGACTACTCTTTCCAACTGAGTGGTTCAGTGGCAACATACTTTTAGAAGAACCTGAAAGTCCTGAGTTAAAAGCGTGGTATGATCATGGCTGCACACTGCTGAAAAGTCCCATACTAGGACGAAACAGCTTCCCAGTACTCTCAGGTTTCGAATGGTTCGCAAAAATTGATATGATTTCGTGATGTACACCAACTTGAAATCGATAAATAAATCTTTACAAACCTCCAAGTGGAAAAACAAGATTAGCTTTTTGTGTAGTGATAAGTTCTTATTATTTAAGGATCAGTATTGTGTAAGTGCATCCATAATAATCCAGTTGTATTTCTCTGAGAGGTTACGCGGATTACCGTGATTAGCTTGACGTCAAAACATCTAGAAGACAAAATTCGATCTGGATAAGCAGCATAGGCTTCGAACATCCACTCTAACCTACAAACTTTACAAAACTGCTCTATTTGCAATGATCGAAGCTGCCAAGACAAACGTTATCAATGAGTAAACATTAAGCTTGAAGGTAAAAGGTAACGTTCATGCCCAAGACACACAAGTGAAATAATATTCGGTAGGCTAGTTGGTATCGCTTTTACTGGTAATCTCCAAAGTGTCACCAAAGCATTCAGTTTTCTTTGCGAGTGACTATCAATACCTGAAGTAACCTTCATATTAGATATAAAATCAACCTTTTTTGAAAAATTCTAATGCATTTGTCACAACAGTTAACATATTTAGTATAACTGCGTGTATTATTCCAAATCCCGGTGGGAACAACGTCACTCACTGGATGGCAGACATATCCAGCTGATGAATCCCAAATAGGACGAGATCAACATTCTGGATTCCACTGCTAGCGACTATCCATCTTTACTATAGTTAACATATTTGTTTAGAATAAACTAAGGAGTATAAAGTAGAAGATTGTGAACACTCGCTACTCATTTGTTATTTTCACAAAATAAGCAATTAACATATATGACATAGGAGTAAGTGGAGAACACACTTACTTGCATCATTCTTCTACAAATCAAAGATCTGAACAACCTGAGTTTACCTGACCTCTGGGATTCATACTTTACTGGTAATCAAAGTCAACGAAATTCATCCATGAAGAATAGTGTATCTCAATGACTATCACAAATGTGCTGATGAGCCTGAATAACTATCATTTACCCTTCTGAGTTATAAAATGGTGTACAGTCGAGGAAAATTCAATATTCTGCTATCAATCTATTCACCAATATAAGTGAAAAATTTGGGCACTGTGGTAGAATGTAATTCCATATTAGATTTGTTTATTGATATAAAGCGCACAGTGATACAGTATTACTTACTTGATAACACTGCGCTCTAACCTGTTCAGCAGTTGTCACACCCATCGTGCTTAATGCTACTTCTATGCTAGGTATGACATCTTCTGGTTTTAGATGATCTGCTGTTATGTTGAAGTTTAGTCCTTTTTCAAGTACTTTCATCTCAGCTGAGCTTAAGGCTTTCGAGGGAGATTGACTACCCACTTTGTTCTATCGATGTTCGATGATGTTTCCTTTGTAATTTCATTGTTTTCCGTAGGATATTTTTCTTGCATTAGTTTATTGAACTTTTTGATTTAATTGCTTCTAGATTTCTTTAAAGTAGCTAATCTTGCTTTGTCTGATGTTTCTGTTATAAATCCATAGTCTCTGCAGTTTACCATCTTCATAATTTTACATTTAAGTTGTTCAATTTTATTCCGAATGGTACTTAATTTCCTAATAATCCTGTGAATTTCTTCTTTCAGACATAGTTTGCTGACATGTTCTATTGCCCTTTCAATTTTGTCAGTAAATAATACTGTATCACTGTGCGCTTTATATCAAATAAACAAATCTAATATGGAATCTATTCACCAGTTCCTTCCATTCTACTTTAGACATTTAAATGATCTAAACACAATCTTCTTAGAGTGACTCTAAATGCCATTGTAATAATAACTAAGATAGTTAACTGAACCTCTTTGTTACATGAAAATTTGCCTTTCCATTAGAAATAAATTATATTAATTGGCTTTAGAGTCACTCGTCTCACTTCAAACAATAAATCTATCTAAAAGACTAATTGGTAAAAGCATTTTTTAAAGAAGGTGTCCAAATATACGCTCGATTTTTCACTGGTGATGTGCCGTAGCTGACTTATCACTGAAGATAAAAGTTTCATCAGAGTAGGAAAATCGTTTGACTGAATAATCCGGAACGACCAACCTTTTTGAGTATCTTATGAAGTCTTCTAGAGATGCTTAAGTTTACATTAAACTTTAGATTTCAATTCAGTTTACTGTGGAATTCATAACCAGCCCTTCAGTTCATACATCAAGAGTGAAACAAGTCTGGATTTAGTCCTCTTTTGTTAAATTTCAAGTCGATCAAGATTTCAAATCATATTTAGTCCAAGAAAGCTTCTTTATAATTTATTTCTTGAGTAAAATTCATTTTAAAAGTAGCTTGTGTGGATAAGGTTACAAGTATAAAGGTATTCCAGTGAGTTATTCAATCTGACGTATTTATTTGTAAAGAATAACTGTGTGGTAGATATCAGGAATTCTAATTTTTGAAACTGAGAAAAATCTGCCTAGCGTTTCCTTTATATAAGACTATTTATTGGCTTGAAGAAATTCCGATAGTATCATATTATTTATGCAGTAGGAAGCCTTATTTACTAGTTGTCTATTTTTACAGCATATGCTTTCACAAAGGAAAATATCCTGAAGTTGTAATGAAATGTCTTTGTAGACATCCACTTTAATTACATCACTCACAGAAAAAAGTTTTTTGAAAAACCTGAATACTTTGATGCAAGGAATCGCATTCAGAACAGAACTTACCAACTACTGAATCATATCATTTCGAGTTCGAATTATTTCCTACTTAAGGAAACCTTTTGATCAATGTGTAAAAGATAAGCTAACGCATCGGGCCATATGAGTGCGTGTACACCAGTTTATTTCCTCTCTTGAAGCATGCATCCTCTTGTGAAACGTGCCCGCGAACAATACTCAGCCTAGTTGACAAGGGGGGGATGTAAATGTATCTTCAACTCAATAAGAGAACACCTTGTGAACTCAGGCCACTTAGCTCCTTTTGAGAACTCCTCTAAAATCCTTTACAGGGTTCGATGAGACTACTCGAAGGTAGCAGGACGAAGGCATATGTCTACAGCTGAAGCACTAACCATTCAAACGTTCAAATCACTACTATGTGTCCCGAAAATGGAACTTTCAACCTCCATAAACCCATGAATGTCATAGATCCATCCTGTATTATATAATTACACACTTTATCTTCATAATCCTTTTTTTATTTCCATACTTTACCATAGATTTATTCTGTATTGCATAACTGCATTTAATTCCATAATCTTTAGTTTATTTTCACATTCCAAACTCAAATTTGCATTCACTAACTTGCTTCGGTTATTCAGTATATTTTACCCCTAATGGGAAATAATTCTGGAACGTTCTACCACGCGGTAACAAATATTCACCAATGTACAGCTTAGTAAAAGACTTCCTCGAAAAGGAAATTTTTCTTTGCTGCAACCACGTCTTGTCTTTTCTTGCCATTAAACGGGTGTATTCTGCATTTCAAATATATTTTAAACGACTAGCGCATTGCGTTAATCTCATTACATAAACAGTAGGGATATGAACAGTGACGACAGTAATCACATTTCAGGTCTAAAAGACATTACTAATGACTAAAGCCAATAGTCTGGAACCACTGAGGACAACCAGTAGTAATCGTTGCTAACTAGATTGGGTGATAGAAACACTAAAAGGTCGTATCCCCCCCCCCCAAAACAACTAAAAGATAGTCATCGTATTTTCTTATAGATGGTTCATATCTAGTACTGCTACTGTTTCCATGAATCAAATAAAATAAGAATTTGTTGAGGTTCTATATTCCAGTTTCATTACCTTTTCACTTTCACGATAAGCATTGTACAGGCTTAAATTAGGAAAGTACTAATGTTTTAGACTATCTGTTTGGTGGTTAAAAGCAGTTGGTAAGAGTTTCTTTACCTTAGTTTCGTACTTGCTGATATATCTGTGATCCCAAGGGAACTGATATCTTCTTCGAAACCATGTCACCAAGTGTTAGTTGACTGATGGCAACCAACTGACATCAATAAAAGTGCACCGCGATATCAATTCTTTTAGCTTCATGACTACACTGTGGTAACGATCGATAAATTCGATCAGCAATTTATTACTTTCTAGTAATGAATCAGTGCATTAAATCCAGCCCCACAGGATCCCAGTTTGACCCAAATAACTCGGTGGTAACGTCTTTGACTACATACCTGAGTGACCTAGGCTAAAACCGCACAGGGGATATCAATTCTTTCAAGTCTGCAGATAAACCCTTCTGATGAGTGCCAGAGAGCCCAAAGTCTAGGTTGAGCACAAGCAGCTGCTGAGTGTCTCCAATCACTTATAACATCTTTCATAAGCTCGACAAGGCATGAATAGCTAGAGTTATGAGTGAACTGGCTATCTGACTTTACTTTGTGAATATGATTGCTGCAACTTTCGTTTATTTCCATCAAGTTTGTCATGATTACGTTTATCAATAGCACTTAGCTTTCATTTTTCATGGCATATCCAAAGGGTTTAAAAATCAGAAAATATTGCTCTCAGTGGTCAGCTATAAATCA